GCATGGGTACAACAGATAACATCAACGTATAGCATGGGTACAACAGATAACATCAACGTATAGCATGGGTACAATAGATAACATCAACGTATAGCATGGGTACAACAGATAACATCAACGTATAGCATGGGTACAACAGATAACATCAACGTATAGCATGGGTACAACAGATAACATCAACGTATAGCATGGGTACAATAGATAACATTAGCGGATAGCATGCGAATGTTAATATTCAAATTGGGATGGTTAAAGCCTTCGCTTGAAAACCCGAGTTTGATTCCCAAAATCATTATACAATGTGAGAAGCCAATTCCAGGTGTCACCCGTCCTGAGTTTTGCTGAAACCGGCGTAAACCCCCAAACTCACTTAATATTCAAATATAAGTCGGTGCACTAATATTCGCTGGTATCGCGACACGATAAATGTAATTCCAAAAAGGTGACAGACATCACCTACAACATCTTTGTACTGGCAACGAAAAGGAGAATTATCCGACCATTGCTGTGGCCAAGGATAGGCATCACACAATGAACTTACCCGCCAGGTCTCACATCGGTCGGGACGAACAAACGCATTGTGTATGGTTCTTGTAGGGTCCGATCTTATAACCTAGTTTACAGTACTACTCTTTCTATTTTTATCATATTAAAAAATTTACGAATTCGATATCATGTTGACTTAAGATTTGATAACGAAACAGAGGGTTAAACAAGGGAACATGATCTTGGAACTTTTTTCCCGCGTACAATAACATGCTTGTTGTGCTGAAACGTGCCTGGTCGTTGTTGATGTACAACGTATCGGATGATGATGATCCCCTGTATGTAAAACCCGCCCTGTAAACACCTTAGAAATCTCGGATAACCCTATACGGCAGGGATCGAATAAATGTCACTGTTTCTGTCAACGCTGGCACAGCTGTGGTGCTTTTATAGCATACAATATCTGTACATTCAGAACTGTAATCAAAATCAAAAGTGAATGAGATCACATATACTTATTGATAACTGAAAAATATTTGTAATTATGATCATATTGACCACATGGGTTTACAAATCGACCAACATTTTAATTGTGTATTTAGCAAACCAATTATCAAGACAAACACAGGTACAGTAGTTTGCTGCCGTTTTATGTAAACAAAACAAACGGACACCTCAAAAATCAATTCAGTTCCCCATAACGTGTGTATTAAACACAAAACTTGCAATGAAGACTTTGAACACCAATGTTTTCACACGAGCATTAATGAAGCACCATCTCATCATTTATCCAATTCCGAAACCTAATAACAAACCGGGGGCACGGGTGGCCCAGTCGTCTAAGGCGCCGCGATTCGCTGTGCAGAGTTGCGTCCCTTGGGCACGCGAGAAACCTATGATTGTGGGTTCGAATCCCGGTTCGCCCCGATTATGTTCTAGGTTTGTCAGCACCATACCCGTGCTCGTGTGTTTCACCGGAGTGGTAAACGTCTGAGACCTGCATCATTTCGGGCTTTCCTCCCACATTAAGCTGACACGCCGTGATATGACTGGAATACTGTTAAAAGCGGCGTTAAACCCAACTCACTCACTCGCTCACTAATAACAAACCTTGATCTGCACTAAATGTTGGATTACCTTGGCCACCAAGTGAAAGCTAGAGACCAGGTTAAATAACCCCGAATGAATTGATCCAGACACTGCACCAGGAAGTTGAAATTCAGACATCTGATCAGCCGCATGATTTTGCTTGTGTTATGCGACGGGATTCTAGCTGAGGGTCGAGGTTTTAGGATAAACCAAAGAATTTGGCTGTTGTGGTTTGAAATACTTATACACCTTTGCTTATATTTTCATTTCACTCAGTATTTGTTTCCTGGCCATAAACTGATTGAAACGTTGCTGACTGCGGTGTTTTACGGATGTTTCAATTTAAAGAAAATCTCGTGTCATACATTTGACATGTACATAAGCAACAAGGGCAGAAAGGTGTGGGTGAGTTGGGTTTAGCGCCTCTTTTAACAGTATTCCAGTTATATCACGGCGTGTCAGCTGAATGTGGGAGGAAAGCCCGAAGTCTCAGTCTCAGACGTTTACCACTTCGGTGAAACCCACGAGCTCGGGTATGGTGCTGACAAACCTAGAAACATAATCGGGACGAACCGGGATTTGAACCCACAATCATAGATTTCTGGCTTCCGCAAGGAATGCAACTCTACACAGCGAATTGCGAAGTCTTAGACTTCTGGGCCCGGGAAGAAAGGAGTAGGTGTGTTTGCGACATGGTAATATTTAAGGCGGCCTACAATGGCTATATGCTCTAAAACTGAACACAAAATGTGCCAATGCAATATGACAAGTAATGTGTTTTTTGATCCATGGAGTCAATTCTTTGTTTCGTATTACAGGGATTTTATTCATACAAGTTCCGTTTATATTGTAACATAGGAATGTTTCTTGAACATGCAACCTTCGTATCTGTAGCCCAGTGAGTGTTCTACTAGACTACAGAGGCGCTGATAAATCACTTGTAATGCTTGTTAGAATGTCTGTTTCAAGTATCCAAACGCAAGCAACATATATTTTACGCCCGTTTCCTAAGGTTCATGGAAAGTATGTATGAAACATAAAACTGTTGATAAATGTTGTTTACATTTCTTTTTTCGGTTTATAAGTTGGATAAAACACTTACCCTCGGGTTGTTATGAGATTTAAACCCTCATCCTCGGGATAAAACCTCAAGGCTGACGTCCCTCGGTTTTATCCCTTTGGATTCGAATTTAAAACCTCATAAAAACTCTCTAACGTGTTTCATCCTCATCATATCTGGTGTGAGCTACAGCAGAACTGTGCACAAGTATACCTGAATTTACTTACTGTTACTGCATTTATGTAAGGCTCAACAGAATTTAATCTATATATAAATTATGCTATGAAAGATTTCTGACTTTATTGAAACGTGAGTACGGAAAATGAATATTTCAGTAACAAAGCATTTTTGGAGAAATGCATTTGCTAAAGGCGCCACCCCACATTCTAACCATTACCCGTGTTTCATTACTGGGAGTCTTGCCGAGAGTATTTTTGTAAGCATGTAATGGGCTAATGGGAACAACTCCGTCATTCTTGCAGGTTGACGCATCTTTAAGCGTGCATCATGTGTCTCGCATTGGGCTAAGGGGAACAACTCCGTCATTCTTGCAGGTTGACGCATCTTTAAGCGTGCATCATGTGTCTCGCATTGGGCTAAGGGGAACAACTCCGTCATTCTTGCAGGTTGACGCATCTTTAAGCGTGCATCATGTGTCTCGCATTGGGCTAATGGGAACAACTCCGTCATTCTTGCAGGTTGACGCATCTTTAAGCGTGCATCATGTGTCTCGCATTGGGCTAAGGGGAACAACTCCGTCATTCTTGTAGGTTGACGCATCTTTAAGCGTGCATCATGTGTCTCGCATTGGGCTAAGGGGAACAACTCCGTCATTCTTGTAGGTTGACGCATCTTTAAGCGTGCATCATGTGTCTCGCATTGGGCTAAGGGGAACAACTCCGTCATTCTTGTAGGTTGACGCATCTTTAAGCGTGCATCATGTGTCTCGCATTGGGCTAAGGGGAACAACTCCGTCATTCTTGCAGGTTGACGCATCTTTAAGCGTGCATCATGTGTCTCGCATTGGGCTAATGGGAACAACTCCGTCATTCTTGCAGGTTGACGCATCTTTAAGCGTGTATCACGTGTCTCGCAATGGTTTGTTTGTTTGTTTGTTCGTTGTTTAACGCCGCACTCAGCAATATTCCAGCTATATGACGGCGGTCTGTAAAATAATCGAGTCTGGACCAGACAATCCAGGGATTGACATCATGAGCATCGATCCGAGCAATTGGGATCGATGACATGTATCAACCAAGTCAGCGAGCCTGACCACCCGATCCCGTTAGTCGCCTTTCACGAAAAGCATATAATAGTCGCCTTTTACGTATGGGTTGCCGAAGACCTATTCTACCCCGGAATCTTCATGGATAAGAAGGGAATGGGCTAATGGGAACAACTCCGTCATTCTTGCAGGTTTACGGAACTTTAATAGCGTCACGTCGTGACGATACAGCTTCTTATTCTCGTTCTTATGAATACGGAGATAATGACAGAATTGTTCGTTGTTTCAAGGTTTTTATTACATAAGGTCACCCAGATCTGAAGTATTATATACACTGGTAAATTTATGGGTTGAGTAATTTGCTATGTTCATGTTAGCACTACCCGCACTGCCGATCGGTATACTGCCATACGACATGGGAGCGAAGGTCGTTCATAGTAACAGTGTATACTAGTTTTTGTGCTCACATACGCATGTGTGATAAACTTCGTTCCCAAACATGTGTATAAGTTCTGTTTGCCAATATATTCTACGTTAGTGTAGGATGCAAACATTATTGAGGTCATGTGACCAACCACTATTGCACGCTTTGGGCGTTAACAAGTAAATATTGAAGCTTGTAGAATCAAAATTACCTCAAGTAGTTGCTGCACAAATAGTTTCAGTGAACAGCTTCAATACCGTTAGGTATATATCAATTTAACTTCGCATGGTCATTGTAATGAATTTGTCCCAGGGGTATGGGAGACAACTCTGTTTGTCTTGTTTACGTAGTGATTTGCAGGGCGCTTCATTTGTTCTGTTATATAGCTCTTCTCAATATAGTGTTTTTCACTCAAGCTCCACTTATTATTATTCATGCGTAATTTTTGGGTATCCATAATATATAATAGTACATGGTCTATTATTCTTCAGTATATTTCCATGTAAAACACTTGAAATTTCAATTAGAGTGTGTAAAACACATTTCCAAGTACATGCTGCTTGAAGTACAAATACTATATGTGTTCTGTTGTTTGTTTGTGTGTTGGTCGGTTAACGCCTCACTCAGCAATATTTCAGCTGTGTGACGGCGGTCTGTAAAAAGATCGAGTCTGGACCTCAGACAATCAAGTGCCTGACATCATGATCATCAATCCACGGAATTGGGATACGATGACATGCATCATCAACCAAGTCAGCGACCCTGACCACCCGATCCCGTTAGTCGCCTCTTACGCCTCAGAGCTGAAGACCTATTCTATCCCGGATCTTCACGGGTCTAGAGTTGATGGTTATCGTGATAAATGGTGTGAAACAAGGCTGTTTTATGTCCCACGCTTCATGAAATAATGCTCTGCGATGATACAGTCTTCTGAAGGGTGACTTGAGAGCTCTGTGATGATACAGTCTTCTGAAGGGTGACTTGAGAGCTCTGCGATGATACAGTATTCTGAAGGGGTGACGTGAGAGCTCTGCTGCGATACAGTCTACTAATGGGGTGGTATGAGAGCTTTGTCACCATAGTATATATACCTGAATATCTCACCAGCCACACAGTCCCAATTTCTTATTGACTGTGCTGTCAGTTTCTTTGCAATTAACTGGGTTCGAATCCAAGTATGGACAACATAGTTCGTAGTCTGCCAATCAAATGACTTGTTTCCGTACAGGAGTGCAAAGCTTTCTCCTGGATTTGGGTGGTTCATGGATCTGAATTCTGTGTTGATGAGGTTAGGGTACTTCAGGGCAAGTTTTGCAGGAAGGAGGACAGAGTGATAGCCCCAGACACTATCATCTAGCGTCTTGTAGTCCTTGTACCAGATCTTAAGGAAGTCTGCCCACGGCCTCGCCACCATGACACCGTTACAGAGTCCATCGGGTGTCTCGTATCCCATCGTCATGTCGTACCTGCACAAGGAAGGATAAAACAAACTGGAATTATTCTTATTTACTTACATATTCTTTTATGCTTGAACACTTGGAGTTTTAGCGAACAGAACCGTCAGTAAACTGGAGGGTGTGTCGGGACTGAAAACTATTTGTTCCAGAGCATATGGTAGGTAGAGGTTCTCGCACTATGGAAATACTAATTCGTTAGTGGTACGATTATTGGATCAGGGCACTATGGCATCACACGTCCTGGAGATAGGGTCCCAATTTGAGATTGCTTTTACGACAAGAGAGCTTTTGAGAGCCTATTCTTACTCGAAATCCTAGTGTAGTTATAAAGGTACTTAAACCAACAAACTGGTTGTGTTTTCCAAATTTCATTTCACCATAGCAGATTATAAGGTTTCATGCCTCTTAGCAAACTATATTATTCCAAACCATTTTGTCAGATGAGGTGTCTTTGTTATAGTGTACAGAAACGTTAATAGAAGTTTGATGCCATCATAACAGTTATAAAGGTGTTATACTATCATACGAAATTATCAGTTTCATGACATTACATAGCAGATTATAAGGGAACATATATGTAATGTGTAGGGTGGTGTTGGGTGTTAGAACAATCTGATTTCCCCAGCTATATCCACCAAATTATTTATTTCCATCAAACAATAAAATCATTATCACTATTAACAAAACAAATGGCCTTTGGGTATTTTCCACAACACAAACTCTTCATGTTTTTTTAACCACTGCCAACAAACAATTCATTTTATCACATTTCTGAACAAAATATTCATTTAAAAAATCTCATCAACCCACCCACCCCAACCCGAAATCCAATGGATGATCCCTGAGGTTTCATGATTGTCATTATAGCAGATTATATAGTTTCATGTCATTTCAACAGTTTAAGGGGCAGTCGATTAGTTTAGTGGTTAAAGCGTTCGCTCGTCACGCCGAAGACCCGGGTTCGATTTCCGACATGGGTACAATGTGTGAATCCCATTTCTGGTGTCCCCCGCCGTGATATTGCTGGAATGTTGCTAAAAGCGGCGTAAAACCGTACTCACTCACTCACTCACTCATTTTAACAGTTTAAAAAGTTCATGTCATTATGGCAGATTTATGACGAACAAGATAATACGTACGACTGAAGTGGTGACAGCGACTTGAGGACGATGACGTCGAGGTCCATATAGATGCCGCCGTATTCCATCAGTGCCTCGAGTCGGACGATGTCTGACTGGTGTTCGGGGACCTTAACGGGCTGCCCCATGATGGTGGTTGGGGGAGCCTTGTACACCAACACTATCTCCGGGAAGCGCTCTGCGGCCTGGTCCCAGTATCCTCCCTCCGGTCTCCGGTCAAACCAGAAGAGAATGTACTTGGGTTTTACAAACCTATGGATGGATTGGAGGCACACGAAATGATGGAATAAGAATGTGTTCCTCTTTGCACCGCCATACCATGTCACGTGAACTATATTAGGCACAACGTTATGGTCATGCGCAATCGACCTACCATACTGAACCGGCATACTTAGATTTTGGTTGAATGTTTGTTGTCTGCTGTAGAGGTAATACTCTGTTTCATTTGGTGTCACGACACGACAGATTCCGGGGAGGATGCAGTCAGATACTTCAAATCTTCTTTCTCTAAGGATTCCTAACTTCACCTCGGGCTTTTGGGAGACGTTAACCAGCTTGACAATGACTAGTAAGGCTGCCAATATACTTAATGCCCCCACTGCATGCATCTTCGCAGATCGATGCGCCATACCGCGTTTCCACATTACGCAAGAATATTCCATCTGAAAATGTAATACATTTATATTTATATAATTTCTAAACTGTCAATATTCAAATAGAAATATACAAACGTTTATGTCTACCATAGAAGCTTTCAAGAGTGAATTGACATTGCTTAATACGTCATCGTCAATTGAAATTTGCGCTCCATGTTAAGAAAACACACTAAATCACAGAACATCAACTCAACATGACACAACCCTTCTGTAAACAAATTAACCATCTATAAAATAGATTATCAAAAAGATAGTCAGGAGGGTACAATGGCATCACACGTCCTGGAGATACGGTCCCAATTTGAGATTGCTGTTACGACAAGCATGAGATACTAAGAGCCTATTCCGACTCGAAATCCTAGGGTATAACGTACTTAAACTAACAAACTGGCTGTGTTTTCAAAATTTCATTTCACCAAAGTAGATGATAAGGTTTCATGCCTCTTAGCCAACTATAATATTCCAAACCATTTTGTGAGATGAGGTGTCTTTGATGTAGTGTACAGAAACGTTAATAGACGTTTGATGTCATCATAACAGTTATAAAGGCGTAATACTATCACAGAAAATTATCAGTTTCACGAATTATATAGCAGATTATAAGAGAACATATATGTGATTTGTAGGGTGGTGTTTGATGTTAACACAATCTAATTACCCCGCTATCTCTATTATCCAACACATTATTTATTTGCTCTCCGTATTAAGAAAAAACATTAAATCACAGAACATCAACTCAGTATGACACAACTCTTCTGCAAACAAATTAACCATTTACAAAATAGATTATGAAAAGAATAGTCAGCAGGGTACAATGGCATCACCCGTTCTGGAGATACATTTTGTATGTAAAATGAATGCAAAAAAATAATAAATAGTAGAGCAAAAGTGCATGTATTGAAAAAGTAAGGACACGAGGTACTGTAGATAGGATATGTTTCTGCAATATTTGCAGCATTAGACCAAAAAGGTCAAAATACAAGAGCCAACAAAAACACGCAAAAAAGTACACGTTTACACACAACCGAATTATTAACTGCTCATACATGAACACAATAAACATTGATACATTACTAATTACCAAACTGAACATACGGGCACGGAGTTCATAATGGTTTTTTGAAGTTGAAAGATCAAAGTGAAGCCAATATATTGATTCGTATCGATTTTGAATCAAACCATGTCACTGAAATACATTTCTATACAGATTTGGCGTAAAACTATTTCCATAAGGACATGCAAAATAAAATCATTTGATTATTCAAATTTGAAATATAAAGCCGGGGGAGACAGCATCTATCTTAGCACTTAAAAAGAGACAGGCGCATAACGTTGTCAACCCATTTTACTGTGAACAGGAATGCATGAAAGACAAGCATAAGATTAATAAATACTCTCCAATAAGATGTGCCACTCTATCAGCATTGTCCATCAGAGTTCAAACATTTGTCCTTCTCTGAGATAATGTCTCTTCAAATGTTTTTGAAGCGTATGTTTTGAATTCAAAATATGGGGATTACCGTCGAATTTTAGCTTTGTTCAGATGCGGATCTGTACCTCTTGCCATTCTCAATAACATGTCCATTTTATGAAGATTTAAGACAAGCACTTTTATATATTGCAAGTTTTTAAATCCCACACTTACACAGTCGATGTAATGTAATGCGTGACACATAAATAATCTCTCTCTCTCTCTCTCTCTCTCTCTCTCTCTCTCTCTCTCTCTCTCTCTCTCTCTCATGCTTGGTTAGAGACGACCCGGGTTGTAAGAAAACATGGTATACCCACCCGGCGTCCCTTCGTAAACGTCAAGGTAGGCATTTCTAAATTAATCAATTGTCGCCTAATAATAACCTGCTGTTAATATCAGGTATCGAAAGGATTATTCCGTTGATGATTCAAGCAAAAAAAAGTATATATTTACCACAATGAGATAACACAGGAGCGACAACACCTCCTCGTTGTACCGAAGTCGCGCGTACAACGGTATACTTTCAGGTTATGCCCGTGTTACGACTGCAACACGACAAGATCCACCACCCGCTTTACCGTAATCCGCGCATGCGTTGAAGTGACATCACGATAATGCATTCATACATCCTATTAACATAATCAGCCAGTGTGTCTGGCCAGGGAAAACATGCCATGTAAGACCCCACCCCTAACGTTGGAAAACAATAAGAAGAAAAAATACACTCACTCCAACGCTGTAAAATAACCCAAAGGCTAAATATCGTATTGAAAGTGAAGATGGGGAAGGCATTATTGATGACGATGACCCAAGGGCCTAATAAGTAATAAGTAATAATATTATTATAACAAAGAAGGCCCAAATAGCCGAGGGCCCGAATGGGATTCCCTCCGGACACAGACGTCCCAGTTGACAGACAGAATGGATATGCGGTTTGCAAGGTGCCTGTAAGAACAAGTCTTCCCTCAATACAAACAGATTTCTTTTATTTGACTAGTGTAAAATAATACATTTTTAATTTGACAATTCTACCTATTTTTATCATAAATTATTCCCCTTTAAAGGCATCTACGAAAAGGGTCAAAGTCGTTCTCACTTCTGCCATCTGCAATGTTTAACCAGTGTTCTTACGTCAGTCAAGAACATCATTGTGTACATGCAGACGAACTGTAGAGATTCACCCACCTGTGACGAGTCCTATCTTATAAGGTTAAAAGCAGGGATTAGTGGTGCAATCAGCCTAATAACTTGTGATTTTAAGGTGTCTGTGTTGAGGGACGTCTGAGTTTGGGCAGGATATCCCCGTGGGCTACATATTGTAAAAACAAAGTCGAAGGTGTTGTCCTCAAGGGCGAAATATCCTCAATTGGAAACAAAAACGCCATAGAGGGTTGTCTTTTGTTCAGACAATGAAACGGCTTAACAACAGAAACTGGGTCACATTAAAACGCGATCAAAGACTTGAATATGGTGTTCGGCCTTCTGTAGGCAGTGGTGGGTCCCGGGTGTGCGGTGTGTGTGTTTATTGGGGGTGGCCATGGGGCTGCCGGGATTGGGGTGGGGGGTGCGGTCTGGGGTGGCCATGTATTGTAAATTTGGTGGTTAAATTAAAATTCACAATGGCTTACATTTCGTGTTTGTGATTTCTTGGGTAGGCTTCTCGGTGGACTACCCTCCCCAATGAAGTTGTAAATTGGTCCAAGTGGAGTCCTCAGTTTTGTAAAATTCTGGATCAGTCCATGATTGGTTGTTTTTTCTAAGCCACCTTTCATTTCGTGATAGTTTTGTTGGTGCTATCTGTTATGTTTCCAGTACGTGCAGTAGTACTTCTATTGAGTAAATTAGTGCTGTCAATAAAGGCGACAATACCCTTTCGATAATCGTAAGAAATATCTGCTTAAATCAGATTCCGTTGTACGATTCCGACTATATCACAAGCATGTGTTTGTGAATCAATTAGTTGATATCAAGACAATATCACCTGTTCGTTTGTTTGTTGTTTAACACCGCACTCAGCAATATTCCAGCTACATGACGGCGTTCTGTAAATATTCGAGTCTGGACCTGACGATCTCGTGATTTATATCACGAGCATCGATCTACCAATTGGGAAACGATGACATACATCAACCAAGTCAGCAAGCCTGACCACCCGATCCCGCTAGTCGCCTCTTACGACAATCATGGGTTGCTGAATCTACCCCGGATCTTCACGGGTCTCCCCTCAATAATGATGCTCAGTATAAAACAATGTTGAAATAAAGGGGTGAGAACGAGAAAGGTGTTTTCTTGTCCCAAATCCAGATTGTTCAGATACCTGCACGAAAGAGTAGATTTAATCATATGCAACATATATTTATGATATAAGCGACGGTCCAACCTGTCGTTTCCGGTCTGGTTTTCGGATCTGTGCGCGCTGTGACAACTAATAACATGTAGAGACGGAGCCAAGCTAAAGCGTTACCCTGTTGCACCACCATTCACAAACGGTCGTTTATAACTGAATATTTCTAACTTGCACATATTTTGTAGTGATTATTAGTTTAGAATATCAACATTTGTTGAGTCTGCAACTAAAATACGAATTGTCACGATGGAAGATAGCTGGGAAATCGCCATGAAAAACGGAATATTGCAACGGTATTTTCAACGTCAAATAACGGCGAGGCTTTCTGTCATCGCATCGATGAAATAATGCAAACTCATTTTATTTATCAGCCTTTGTGTAAGTTCCCACGACAATTCCAAGCATTCAAATCTTAAATAGTTATCATATACTACCATGGACTTCAACGTATTAAAAGTGGAGATACGCCTACATTTGCAGCACGCAGACATCTTTGACAGGCCACTGATCAATAGTTTGTATACATCCGTGCCTTTACAAACAATTGAAGGAGAAATAACACTGAGAATAAAACAACTGATTTTTAATGTTACTTTTATGTCAAAATTAAATTTACATTTTGACATTATTTTTGTAGAAAATAGATATGCCAAATGGAAATCTACCATGCATCTATCAAGCAATCACTTGCTCAGTTGCTATTAATATCCAGTCATTATACACTATGAAATAAGAGATTTACCCATATTATTCTGCCCCTTACACAATATATTATGTAAGTAATTAAATATGTTCCCACGGTGAATTGATTGGTTCTTCAAACATGAATGACCGCCTCCGTGGTCTTGTGGTAGAGCGTCCGCCCGGAGAGCGGAAGGTCCGGGGTTCGATCCCGGGCCGCGTCATACAAAAAGACGTTAAAAGATTGTACTTGTTGTTACTTTGTCTGGCGCTCGGCATTAAGGGGCTAAAACAAGGACTGGTCGGCTCGGAGTCAGTATACTGTGTCTGAGTGGGGTATTCATGTTAAACTGCGGCATGGTATCTCAGTGAGCTAGCACTATAAATCGGCATCAGTCCGGACTAGTACAAGCAGCCACACACACACATACACGTGCATGCACGTCGCTATATAAGTGCAATAATCTTGGACGCGACGTTAAACCCAATTTCACCTCACCTCAAACATGAATGTATACAAGTCCTTTTTTATGTTACTTATCTTTATTGACATAACATGCAGTTCATTAACAGATAATGACTGCTAATAAGTCATGAATGTGCAATCTAATACTAGTATACATGCACAAGTATGCCAAGAAATCAAAAAACATAATAACATGTGACAGATGCTATATTTGGGATAACACTTTCTTACTAAAGAACAGATTCTTGTCCTTTTTGTGGGTTGGGTCCTGCCCGGGATTCGAACCCACACTTGCCAGAGTGAGGCACCTATTCACCAGCACACAAAGTCAGCGATCTAACCCACTCAGCCACCGAGACTTCCACAAAAATGAAAGTCCAACAACTGGTAGTCTAGATCACGTACTTTGTGTACCCCTATTGACAAGGGTAAATTGGCACGGCTCCCATGGCCGAAAGCTATGAATACACAATGCCATTTAGAAAGTGGTCAAATGTAACAAATGTTATATTTGGGATAACACTTTCTTAGTAAAGTACAAATTCTTGTACTTTTTGGGGGGTTGGGTCCCGTCTGTGCAATGCAGATATATGTTGGTGTAAAGAGAAAAAAGAATAACATTAATAATTTGTTTACGTGGGAATTTGAAACATCAGTTTGGAATAAGGAAACATAAAAAGCAAAGCCTAATGACATTTATCCAATGAGCTTTATCTGTATTACAATCATTTGATGATTGTCAAAGCAAACTGGGTGTAGACACTGCAATGTTAATACAATCATCATTATAGAGATTGAAATTTAGTATGAATTAATTTGTTCCAATTTATAAGATGAAAAATTGTAGTTGGTAAAAGAACCTTTGAATATGTATTTAAACACATATAATTTTATTTCTAATTTCTAAAATTAAAAAAGGCCACATTGATATATATCTTTTATTTATCATATTGAAATATAATCATGGTAGTATTTGGCAAAAAACTTGCACCATTCATCCATAAAATCTTTTTATAACAACATGCACCAACTAACCCTTAAATATTTAAATAGATTTCAGAGATTTCCATTTCTTTTATATAATGAACATTATATGATGATATCTAGTTGATGACATCATTTCGCAGTGCCTGTTTCTTTTACAATATCTTGAAAACCTGATAAATACTTACATATGTTGCTGTCAAAATTCACAACATTTAGGCTACTGGTAACTTTTACCTTGCATTAATGTGAGTGAGTTGGGTTAAACGCCGCTTTTAATAGTATTCCAGTTATATCGCGGCGTGTCAGCTTAACGTGGGAGGGAAGCCCGAAGTGATGCAGGTATCAGACGTTTACCACTTCGGTGAAACCCACGAGCACGGGTATGGTGCTGACAAACCTAGAAACATAATCGGGGCGAACCGGGATTCGAACCCACAATCATAGGTTTCTGGCGTGCCCAAGGGATGCAACTCTGCACAGCAAATCGCGGCGCCTTAGACGACTGCACCACCCGTGCCCCCTTACGTTGCATTAGACTTTCACAATTCGCGTACCGCATCGCCTAACCGCTGTACTGGGATGCATGCATATGATGTTGCCTTCTCGGCGATATTACAACATAGATATGGGAACGTGCACAATGAAAATCAACTTCATTTTTAAAAGCGGACATCAAGGGCAACTCTTTCAGTACCGATAATTACAAAACGTCAACAAAGCGACCTGGAGTGAACGATCAGCTGATCTCATCGCCTCGCTTCGAACGGCTGTCTAATGGTTAAATGTAAAATTACTAGTTGTCACGTACAATGTACATGAAGTAAAGAGCAAGGCTGTACGTACAATGAACATGAAGTAAAGAGCAAGGCTGTACGTACAATGTACATGGAGTAAAGAGCAAGGCTGTCACGTACAATGTACATGAAGTAAAGAGCAAGGCTGTACGTACAATGAACATGAAGTAAAGAGCATGGCCGTCACGAACAATGTACATGGAGTAAAGAGCAAGGCTGTCACGTACAATGTACATGAAGTAAAGAGCAAGGCTGTACGTACAATGAACATGAAGTGAAGAGCAAGGCTGTCACGTACAATGTACATGAAGTAAAGAGCAAGGCTGTACGTACAATGTACATGAAGTAAAGAGCAAGGCTGTCACGTACAATGCACATGGAGTAAAGAGCAAGGCTGTCACGTACAATGTGCATGGAGTAAAGAGCAAGGCTGTCACGTACAATGTACATGACGTAAAGAGCAAGGCTGTACGTACAATGTACATGAAGTAAAGAGCAAGGCTTTCACGTACAATGTACATGAAGTAAAGAGCAAGGCTGTCACGTACAATGTACATGGAGTAAAGAGCAAGTCTGTCACGTACAGTGTACACGGAGTAAAGGGCAAGGCTGTCACGTACATGAAGTAAAGAGCAAGGCTGTCACGTACAATGTACATGGAGTAAAGAGCAAGGCTGTCACGTACATGAAGTAAAGAGCAAGGCTGTCACGTACAATGTACATGGAGTAAAGAGCAAGGCTGTCATGTACAATGTGCATGGAGTAAAGAGCAAGGCTGTCACGTACATGAAGTAAAGAGCAAGGCTGTCACGTACAATGTACATGAAGTAAAGAGCAAGGCTGTCACGTACAATGTACATGAAGTAAAGAGCAAGTCTGTCACGTACAATGTACATGGAGTAAAGAGCAAGGCTGTCACGTACATGAAGTAAAGAGCAAGGCTGTCACGTACAATGTACATGAAGTAAAGAGCAAGGCTGTCACGTACAATGTACATGGAGTAAAGAGCAAGGCTGTCACGTACATGAAGTAAAGAGCAAGGCTGTCACGTACAATGTACATGAAGTAAAGAGCAAGGCTGTCACGTACAATGTACATGAAGTAAAGAGCAAGGCTGTCACGTACAATGTACATGAAGTAAAGAGCAAGGCTGTCACGTACAATGCACATGGAGTAAAGAGCAAGGCTGTCACGTACAGTTACAGGTTTGGTGAGGATTGTTGTTTTACGCCGCACTCAGCAATATTCCAGCTATATGACGATGGTCTGTAAATAATCGACCCTGGACCAGTCCATCCACTGATTGACATCATGGGCATCGATCCACGCAATTGGGATACGATGACATGCATCAACCAAGTCAGCAGCGAACCTGACCACCCGATCCCGTAAGTCGCCTCTTACGACAAGCATAGTCGTCTTTTAAGGCAAGCATGGGTTGCCGAAGACCTATTCTACCCCGGAATCTTCACGGGTCTACAGGAGGTAGAAGGCTGTGACGTGCAGTGTCCATACAGTAAGAACGAAACTGTCACGGCATATTTATCAGAGTCAGAAGAGCGTCTCGTACATTTCTTCATGACATATATAGTAAACTACGGTTATAACGAACACGCTTATAACGAACTAACGGATATAACGAACTAACTTTTTAGTCCCGACTATATGCTGTAGTTATGCTGTATATATGCTTATAACGAATTACGGTTATAACGAACTAAAATTAGTAGTCCCTTTGAGTTCGTTATAACCGTAGTTTACTGTATTATATTTTCTCTGACGGACACTGTTTTCATTTACAACACATTTTAGCTAGCATATCCAGCTAATGTACTGATCAATTTAGTTTGTTCCTAAGAGCGTTTTTTAGTACTTCAGTTCTACCTTTAGATTTGGCTATGTTCGGATAGCCTGCTCCAACAGAGAACACCACATAACGATGGTAGGACATGTGATATGGACTGTCTTACCTGTCGTAAGTTGATCGTGACAGACGTTGATCTGCAGACGCTACCTGACCTGATACGACCGGGTACGTCAACAGTACAGGGTCACGGGAACTAAAGGTTAGACTCGGGAGTTTGTTTGTGGAAGAGTGGGGTGCTCAAGGGATCACACAATCGTTGTCAGGCTGACATTGAAGTCGCCATTGTTAACGGTATAAGCTCGCCGACAGGACGGACATTCATCGAATAGAGGTTCAGTCAATCCGAGTTGCTCGCCGGACGAAAAGCGTGCAAAACGCACTTGGTTAGTGAAAGAGTGTAAAGGTACACGAGGAAATTAAGTAAACTGCATGCTTGAAAAAAGTGCAATCAACACAAAATAAAAGACATCTTTTAAATTGTAGTGGTATTTACACACACAAAAAAAAATGCTGAAAAAGCACAGAACATGTTCGCAAAAGAACTTTGGAAAGAAGTAACAATTCAGATCCTAAATAAAAACCGTCTGCGAACTACACATTTCAGTACGACTTTACTCAGACGATGTGGTCCTTCTAGTCCCGAGAGTGAGTGAGTATGGATTTACGCTGCTTTTAGCGATATTCCAGCATTATCACGGCGGGGGACACCAGAAATGGGCTTTACACATTGTACCCATGTCGGGAATCGATCCCGGGTTTTCGGCGTGAGGAGCGAACGCTTTGACCACTAGGCTACCCGACCGCCCCGAGAGAGGGCAAATTACAGCGTATGTTGGATGTGGTTACCCACTGGTACTCTTTAGTGGCGTCTCAACGTTAATAAGAAGATTGTGCATTTTAGAAATAAGTCTATACAACGACCTACTTATCCATTTTCGTGTGAGTGAGTGAGTGAGTATGGTTTTACGCTGCCTTTAGCAATATTCCAGCAATATCACGGCGGGGGACACCAGAAATGGGCTTAAAATATTGTACCCATTGCCGCCTAGCTACTATGTTTGCTCCTGTAGACTGACACGTCAATTATTCACACGGTCCAAAAGGGCTAATATCTCGCTACAAGAAAACTGGGTCAGCGTTTCCTGCATAGTGATATGCTATGGACCTGTTCACGTCCCTCTCGACAGGAAAAGCTCGCTACACGGAAATGAACCAACGTTTACCGCATAGCGCTTTTCGGCAGGTAAACCAGTCTAGGACAGGACGTGGCTCCCTGTTTTGATTGTTGCCGAGTAACATGTAAACATGTTTAATTAGTTAACAGTTAGGAATGTTTTAAAGATATTTTCATAATTGTTTATGTATTTCGTTTGTACACATCATTATATACATGTGAGACAAAGATAAAGTTTATTTTAAAAGTTTGATTACATCTTTCCAACTCATACCCATGTCATTTTCTCAAACCCCTAAACCGCCAGCCGTGCAATAATAATTTTGATGTTTTCTGTCGCTCTAAATAACGATGGAACCTGCATTTGTTCTTTGCTCTTAGTACCCGTGAAGATACGGGATAGTATAGGTCTTCACCAACCCATGCTTGCCGTAAAAGGTGAGATCATTTTTTCACTGTATGCCTCTATATTTTGTCTGGCGACCGCCAGATACTTCCACTGGTGAGATAAAATATAGAGGTTTACAGGGGGAAATGATCTCACCAGTGGCGGGTATGGGCCACCGTAGTATTCCAGCCGTGCAATAATAATTTTGGTGTTTTCTGTCGCTCTAAATAACGATGGAACCTGCATTTGTTCTTTGCTCTTAGTACCCGTGAAGATACGGGATAGTATAGGTCTTCACCAACCCATGCTTGCCGTAAAAGGTGACTATGCTTGTCGTAAAAGGCCTAGGCGACTAACGGGATCGGGTGGTCACGCTCGCTGACTTGGTTGATGCATGTCATCGTATCCCAATTGCGTAGGCCGATGCTCATGATATCAATCACTGGATTGTATGGTCCAGATTCGATTATTTACTGACCACCGTCATATAGCTGGAATATGTCTGAGTGTGGTGTTAAACAACAAGCGTCAACGTCTTTGTTCTTACAATTGTTTTAGCTGCGTTGTCGTTATCGCAGTAGGTGGGCGTTCAAGACATTATGAGAACTTTCACACGGCACGTCTTCAGCCAAGTGACACTGGTCTCATTATTCCTATATGTGGATACCACGAAGCCAGACTGAACGATGCCACAGACATATACAAAGTAGGTTAATGGTGTATTCTACGGTGGCCCATACCCGCCACTGGTGAGATCATTTTTTCACTGTATGCCTCTATATTTTGTCTGGCGACCGCCAGATACTTCCACTGGTGAGATAAAATATAGAGGTTTACAGGGGGAAATGATCTCACCAGTGGCGGGTATGGGCCACCGTAGTATTCCATGTCCAAAGGTCTTTTGTCTTATACCAACCAAACAATATGATTCACGATGACACAAATATATAATATATACATGCAATATAACTATGAAAAACTCCCACCCACATAGCCCTAGAGTGCCAAATTCGTAATGCCAAAGAGAGCCATCCACTTGTATCAAGATGTATGCCAGCCACATATTCCTTGGTTTGGTTCAAATGGCATAAAATGTGTGTGGGTGGTTTTTTTCAAATGATGTAACTTTGGGATAATTCTCTTTGGCATTTTTGCTCTAATCATTATTACATACCATGATCCATACTGAACCAAACATTTATGACATCGATTACCAGTGTAAATAATCTCCTTTCTTAAACATTAACAAATAATTATGTACAAACGATAAAACGTTGCCAGTTTCTTGCCAAGTATTTGACCAGATACGTTTGAAAGTAACTTCATTCAGCCATCAAAAATTTAAAAATTTAAATGGCGAATATCTCAAAATTAAGGGGGCGGTCGGGTAGCCTAGTGGTTAAAGCGTTCGCTCGTCACGCCGAACACCCGGGCTCGATTCCCGAAATGGGAAAAATGTGTGAAGCCCATTTCTGGTGCCCATATTGCTGGAATATTGCTAAAAGAGTCGTAAACCCATACTCACTCATTCACTCAAAATTATGTCATTGTGGTTTGGTTCTATGTTGCTTCATGATATCCATGTATAACCTACATTCAGCATAGCAACTCGTTATTGGTCAGTTTGTGTAATATACGATCAGGGTACAGTGTAGGTAAAGAGACGTCTCTATTACTGTACTGGGACCGTATACTACTATTACAGAATAATACCGAATTAATGTGCACTCAGCATGCGTTAAGTTAATGTGCATCCATGAGTGTCAGTGAAAAGATGACGTACAGCCGCGTCATATCAAAAGATGTTGAAAGATGGTACTTGTTGTTACTTTGTCTGGCGCTCAGCATTAAGGGCCTAAAACAAGGACTGGTCGGCTCGGAGTCAGTAAACTGTGTCTGAGTGGGGTATTCGTGTTAAATTGCGGCATGGTATCTCAGTGTGCTAGCACAATAAATCAGCATCAGTCCGGACTAGTACAAGCAGCCACATACACACGTACATGCACGTCGCGATATAAGCACAATAATCTTGGGCGCGACGCCCATCGAAGCGAGAGACAGATATACAACATGTGACTGTCGTTCGGAACACCCTGTACCTTAATAACGGCGTTGCACGACAAGTAAACTCATTGCGATTGTCACTTTCCCGATCTGGCGAGCCAGGCTCTGGTCGGTGGGATGAATGGTCGTTCTGACGTGACCCATGACATGACCTGGGATGATTTCCTGTTTTGCGGGAGCGAGAATTGAGATCTAATTTCAATGAGATTTACAGTCTGCGCTGTCAAATAAATCCGCCATCTTGCCAACAGTGGGCAGGGGACTTCATTCACATTGGTTTGCCTCCGTTACGGACTTCGCTTCGTTTTTCGTGAAATTGTTCTGTCATCAAGATATATTAAAGGGGGATAAAAAAAGTTCCGTCATTGCCAACAGTTACTGGTGTTAAACTAACTAATCAGACATTTAATCTAACTCGTCAGTTACTGCACGGTGAAAGACAAAGGAGTTTTAGTTTTAAAATGTTAATATCTCCCGACAATAATCAATATTATATTGATTGATATTAATATGATGTAACTTTGCGTGAATTTACATGTGATCACGTTGATAGACACGTGGTTGGGCGTAGGGGTGTTACAAATCGAGAAGATCTTTCTAAAATTTGGGAACGCATGAAAACACGAAAATAAACAAACTCACACGTGCATCCAGTAGACAACTCACCTGAGCAAGCAAGTCCGCTACGTCTATAACAGGGCAGACGTGGACGCCACACAACTGTGCGCAACAGTAATCCCGAGACAGCAAACGGTATCCTCAGTACATTATGAAATCAGTTTGCAGATCAAGCAAACTCACAAAACGTAGCTATGTAATGTTGTTTGCCGTGTGTTATGGGTGAGGACACCAGACTATATCACCGCCTGTCTTTCCAGCTGTTTCCCCATCTCGTCCCGCAGCTTCAGTGATCTGCTGTTGTTCATTCATCTTCCTGGTGGAACGAGCGAGTTCGATTTATCTTAACGCGTCACGCTAACATGGCTAGAGGGTAAAAAGCGTGACCAATTCGCATGTGACCTACACTGACAGATTTGAGATAATATAATGTATTACCCCCGTGGTGAAGATACAGGTGGTAAGATACTAAATCCATACATCACACCTGTGTCGTACAAGGTTGACCTCGTTTTAGTCGTTTTGGTTGGATAACCGTGACCTCTGTCACACCGGAACTACTTTTATCATTCATAAAAACGCACGAGACGTCATTCGATTTGCAACTATGCAGAACTGAAGCAATCTCATGAAAGCGAGAGACATTTACACACACTTTATTGAACCAAACAAGATAGCTTTCATTCTGTATTAGTTATGCACAGAGCTACTACAGACATTATATCATCGAGCTATATCCATTTGCACTGTATACTACTAGCGATCGATAGATCTAGGGTCCCTATGAGCGTGACGCACCCAACCATGCACTTTCTCGACTTTCAGTGTGATTTAACATAAAAGGAGAAGCGTGGTGAAATGAAGTCAGTTTTAACTATCTGGATATATATCTGGACTTATGGTGGATGTTCCGGTTGTGCCATCAGTGTCCCCTTTGAAGCATTTTTTTCGGCCCAGTTTCGGGAGATGTTTGCTTGTGAATAAACATACGACTGCACGACTAGATCACTCAAAGTGAACAGTTCCGATACAAATCATTTAAAAACTCCGTGGATTGTGCCTGACTTCTGATCTTGTCGCCCAGAATATCCCAAATCCGAACAATAACATTCCCTAGCGGAAAACGCTGTAACGCCCATCGGAAACTGCCACTGACATGCAAGCATACTTGAGTTTGGTGATTTTAACAGTATCGGGTCGTACAGCTAACATGAATGTCTTTGGCGAGCACTCTGATTTCTCTCTTCCAAAATGGTACGGACAGGATATAAATTCAGCTGTTAGATCAAGGAAACCGCAAAATTTTGATTGCACAGCCGGGAACTCCGGCGGTGCGTGACCGACTGTTTGTCCAATATTCAACATGTTCAAAGCGCGGCGCCAATTGACTTTTTAGATTTTCTTATAGATGTCGTGCGTACTGACAACAATGCGCTTGAATTACCATAAGCTGAATATATTCTTTAAAAAGATCTTGAGCGTTGATGCTGCCATGTTTGCGCACACAACAGCAGGAACATGTTGTTAATGCATATGCATAGAAATGTCAACAATGCCCATATTTGGGCATATATCAATATTCATGCACAACCTGATTTTGCAACCGGTTTCAGTTGGTCTGTCAACGAACCAAAGTTGTTATGTATTTACACATAAATATATATTGGCATATATATATATATTAGATACCATAGAAAGTCCACTCGTTTCGTAAAAATGGTATCAAACGAGAATGAGTGTAGTATTCTCTATGTATTACCCATGTGGTGAAGATACAGGTAGTGAGATACTAAATCCGTACGCTATACGTGTGTCCACTCTCCTACCCAGAGTTCCTTGCGGTCGGCAGCCAGCATAGCACCTATGCCATAACAAATGTCAAAGAATCATACGTTACGGTTCATTACGAAAGTATCCTAATACGTGAAAATCTGCTTTTTTTGGCGTAGTTATCCTTTGTTTACATTGGTTGTACGGCTCCACGTGCTGTCATCGAAGCCCAACGGAGTGCCAGCGATACGGTCACTTTGATCACGGACCTATATAAGTTATACAAGTCCGTGCTTTGATGTACAAATATATATCGTCATGCAACTCACTGTCGCAGTTGTAGTAGCATATCTATATAATTATGCAAAACAATATGTAAAGTGCATCCAAATACTTGCATTTGTCCGTTCTATTCTGATTTCTGAAAAAGCGCGTTTGTTTACATACAAGAGAAAAGTCCGATCGCTTTCGCTCGGTCGGATACCATAGAAAGTCCACTCGTTTCGTAAAAATGGTATCTAACGAGAATGAGTGTAGTATTCTCTATTTGTTACCCACGTGATGAAGATACGGGTGGTGAGATACTGAATCCGTACGTGTGTCGTACAAGGTTGACCTCGTTTTATTTATTTGATTGGATAACCGTGACCTCTTTCACACCGGAACCACTTTTTTCATAAATAAAAAATCACGAGACGCCATTCACTTTCACAAAACTTTACGAGACAGAACTGAAAGAATCTCATGAAAACGAAACATTTACAACACTTTATTAAACAAAACACGTGTCACGATCATCCAACTTTTTTGCAGTCTATATTAGTTGTGCATAGAGTTACTACGACATTACGTAATCGAGTTATATCAATTTGCAATGATCTGAAATGAGAGAACAGGCTTCGCGGAAAGACAAAATCTCACAATCTCATTTTTATTTCACATGTGTGAAGTATTTCGTCAGCGGATCTGTACCCCAAAGAATAAAAAATAACCACCATATTGATTAGAAAATATATTAAGAAACCAAGGCACGCGATGATTGATGACACTTTGCGCTCGTTTTAATTAAGAATCTTACCGATAGTACTGTGGAGCTGTATTCGCTTTGGGCCAACTCCTTTAGTGTTGACACGTCCTCTTTAATTCGTAATAATATCCCTAATGTAAATTGTTTTTCGTTAAGTCTTAATTTTAATATTTTCAGTCATTTTGACTGCAGATTATTTCGGATGTATTTAACATAATGCAGTATTTGTGGAATAAATTATCGCAGAGTTATGATTTATTTGTATTTCAAACTTACCCGCTGGATGCCAGAGGGACATATATGTCCCTCCTCTTCAACCCTCACTTTGAAGCCGAATAACGTTCGAAATACACCACACACACAGATACGCTTAACAGTTTTGAATAATGTGGGACATTCCCTGTTCTGTGATATCATCCACTGGCATTTTAGGCCAAGTAATATTACTGAAAATTAGGTACATCGTAAATGTCGCCATTTTTTGTATTGAATGTATTACGTTATACATAAGCATATAAATCCATTTGATATATATTTATGGCGTTCAGATATAAGGTAGTATTTTGTTCGCTCACAGTTTCTGTAAAACTGCGAAATTAAAAATATCGTCGCGCAGTACTTTTATCGGTGTACGATAAAAAGCGGCGAAATTTGCTGTTTTTCAACGCACTATTTATTCTCGAACAATACTTAGCTGTGTCTTTTTTCAAACCGATTAAATATTTGCAGTTATATTTACACAATCAGGAAACATCTATATCTCTGCGTAATTTTATAGCCGGAGGTAGATCCAGTGCCGCGTGAGTGCAATTCTCTCACAATCTTCACTTTTCAGATCTCGGGAAGATGTGCGTCAGTAAAAACAAACAAACTCGGCATCCAGAGGGTTAAGTTGTTCCAATATACATACTTCGCTTTTTATATGTATAAAATGTTTCGTATGAAAAAGATATATCTTATAAAAGTGTACACTTCTTCATCTAAAATTAACGCTGTACTATCGTATTTGACGTTACATAATGTAACGGAGAGAGAGAGAGAGAGAGAGAGAGAGAGAGAGAAAGAGAGGTCGCAGTTGCCTCCCTTAGGTAACTTTTCTGACAAGAAGGGCAAAAGGGGTGGCAACTTCCTGCTCGTCTGAAAGTCCAAACTATATTGTTGATTTTGTAAAATTACAATAATTTTCTTTACGCCCGAATCATGTCTTGTGAGAATATTTTCAAAGGTAGGTTATTTCCCCTAAAACTAATAATTCGGAGGCAGAGTGTTCGTTATTACATCGCATTGTGATTGTTTTTAGTTCAGCATACTCATCAGATGAATGTCCCCGATCTCATGATGGCGAAGGTATGAGATGTAGTTATCTGCTGGTTATATGAACATTAACTTGTCATTCTGAAAACACAGGTTCGATTCCTCACGTGGGTACCATGTAGCAAGCCCATTTCTCGTGTCCACCAGAACGATTTCATTATTGGAATATTGCCAAAGAATCTCAATCTATATTTCTCTCTTCACGCTCTGGTCATATTGCACAGAAAGGAGCGCCTTTAGAATTCAGCACCACAACTTCTCATAGCACGATCTCTGCCGTACGACACAAGGAACTGTATTCGCCGAGGACTTCTTACCTGTCCGTGTAAATACATCACATACATCAAATGACATGCAATACATCAAATACCGTGTAAATAAACCATATATATTACTACAAAAATCATTCTTATCATTTTTAAAAATAGAGGTGCCTTTTTCGCCCGACACATAGTAGCCGTTTTCGCCAAATGCGGTGCCGTTTTCGCCAGAGAAATCAGTGACATTTGCTGAGGTGCCGTTTTAAACTGCATGACACAAGTCACTAAGACAACCAAACAGTTTTTTGAAAATCCATTACATGCAACTTCGGATTGTTTACCAGACTGCTGACTGTTAGAGCTACGTCCACAATGTTAAACCAGGGAGTCTATGACTAAGGTGAAATTTACCTAGTCTTTCCAGAGACGAAATGGAAAGGTTCCCACAGGGGATGAACACTTTACAAAGGTTATGGGTAGGCATGGTGTCTTGTGACTTTAGTCTATGGACACATACAAGCGATCCCGATGCCTTTTGGCACACTCGTCCTGTTCTTTAATGTATCCCCACGTCACACATTTTTGAGCCTCAACTTATTTTGAGCCCCTTAACAATATGTGGCCTCTCACCTAATGACATAATCAAGGTAGACACTTCAAAGCCCACTGAAGACATTCAAGTGTTCGCCACTTGCTACAGAAGTTATGTTGCGCATTAAGCTACACAAGATAAGATATTCAATAGGTAATGAAAGCATATATACCTCAAAACTTACTTTTCCACTAATGCACAATTTAATCAAACTTGATCTGATGATAATTTTACATTGGAACAATCGTATGTACTGATGTAACAGCTGATGTTTGTTAACTTCCTGTCTGTAATGTCGTATTACTGACCATGTTGTGCATCTATTTTGAACTTGACGGAAATGGAGGGGCTTGATCTCATGTGAAGGTAACAAGATGGTGCCTGAATGACCCGTCTTGCTAGGCAAGGCATTATTGCTTTTGAATTAACAAGACATGGTCATTTGACCATCCAAGTGTTAACAGAAATAAATGTTCTCAGAGGTAAGACTTAATTTTAGTGTGTTGGGATTGTTATTAGACATGGAATGAGAAATACTTCTTAGGGGCTTGCAAACCCATAACGTGAAGATACAAGATGCCTATTGGCGAGGAATGAACCGATATGCCGGGAACCAAAAATGGCTCCAGGTTGATTCCCGAGTTTGCATGAATGACCCAGTTGCTAGGTTGACGTTAGGGGCATTGTTTGCAACAAAATTTCACAAATTACGTCATAGGGTATTGTTAAATGTTTGTGAACTTTATGGTGCTGAATTCTAAAGGTAGGCCCACAAAAAGCCTGCACTTGTAGCAGCTACAAAATTTCTGAATCCTGTGACGGAATTGGAGCCACGGATCTTCTGATCCGAGGTTGGACACCTTGTCCACAGGACCACAAAGGTTAACCCTGTCAGCAAGCTAACACAGTAGGGAGGTCATCTGTTGGATGACTTCACGTCGTGCTACACACAGACACCAGTTGTCGTGTTAGAATTCAGTGCACCTGCGCGCCTGTATTCATATGGATTCAACCTAGATCTGTACATACTTTGCACGAGAATACTCTTATACAAGAATATTATATTTACCTAAATAATCTTTACTGCAATAACTCTTGAGGCAAATGATTTATCAAACTACTTTATTCCAATACATGTGCAATATAATATGAATAATTACATAAAAGACAAATACATGTTATCAAGCCCCATTTGTTTAGATGCCACATAGTGGCGCATCATGCCACTAATTATTCTAATGGATTTTACTGTCTGTCATATATTAGCTAACATGTTGCTTATTCTACTATTTGTCTGAAATGTATGAGGGGAAAGGAAAATTACCTACCGCAATGTAACTCCACTCAACATTTATTATGATGAATAAACAAATCAATGCACAAATGAATCTAATGTTTAACTTGTTTAATCAATCTGAATGGAACCATATTAGGATTTCATAAAATATAGCCCATGAGGATTAATAAATGCACAGTAAAACATGTGGATTGTACAACTTTCAAAAGTCTCTTGACTCAATTTTTGTATTAACGTTCCATGTCAAAACTAAAAATCTATGCGTTACTTTAAGCACATAGATTCATATGCAACAGTGTCGATAATTCCCCCTTCAGAAGTTTGTATACACCACGTTCCTCCATCACCTATTAATATACAGCTTGAAGATCTGGGGTAGAATAGGTCTCAGCAACCCATGCTTGCATTGCTGTAAGACGTAATAGGAATATGTGCACATTAGAAAGCATGACAAATAACACACAAAGGGGATGAGTGATGTAGTATGGTGAATAAACTTTTGAGGTATTGAGTGTGTTCAAAGATTTTAGTGGACACAAACTTGATATTTTTCAGTGATAGAAATTGGCACTAGTCTTCTAGTCCTAGCTGCCCAGTAGTTAAGGTATCATAAGGACTAGTAGAAACTTGCCATTTTTAAGGCTTTTGCTATATGTTATCATTATAACATAAGGACTAATGGATTAAAAATGTTAGTTTCTACTGCTGTTTTTACATGCAACTAAATATTTGAATGCATTTTTCAATAATAGGTTGCAATGGTGCATGTTTTAGATAGCTAGACAATGCTAAATCGAGCTTTGTCTACTACACATATTGGACCTATGTATTCACAGGTGAATGAGGACTGTATCCGTGAACTATTGACAATGCATATGCTATGGAAATTGGAACAACATGTTTTGGTCAATGGTCTGATGCCTTATGATTTGTTCACTTTCAGATGTAACTGCCATACATGCCAGACTATTTCATCACAAGCCAGCTCTCCAGGGTCACATTAACTTCTTTCTAAAGGAATTTGAAGTGAGTAAATTCATATATCATGGTATCCCGATTGCGTGGATTGATGATCATGGTGTCAATCACTGGATTGTCTGTTCCAGACTTGATTATATACAGACTGCCGTCATGCAGCTTGAATATTGCTGAGTGAGGCGTTAAACAACAAACAAACAACAACCAAATGTAACTAAATGCAATAAACCAACAGTTGTTATCCATAAAGTTGTATGTTTTCTAACTTGAATGAATTAAAATACAAATGCCTTATGCAGTCTTACACCAACAGAACATAGTATTTTATATATTATTTTGTTTCAAATAATGCGGACTGCATGTATATATTATGTATTTATTGTTTTTTTTTTGTATAGATGCATGATCTGATGATGTGATACTTCTTGTATTGCAATGCCCTGAATCTTAGTAAGTTGATACCACACTAACCATGCAAATCGAAAGCTGCTGAGATAAGTGAGTGTCATTGTTTAGGAGCGACGGGGTGAGCGTGAGGTGCTGCGGATGAACAGCACCTACAAGAACATGTCCTACATCAGTGAGCAGGGGCTACCCAACAGCACTGAGGCTCTTCACCAGTGCCTGGCCAACCTCAAAGAAAGTGGTAAATAGTTCGGCACTAAGATGCATCCATTCGTGATGTTTACTTCATCTACCAGATTCCTAACTGTGTTTATGTGAACACACAATGCCATTTAGGTCAGATGTAACAAATGTTATATTTGGGATAACACTTTCTTAGTAAAGTACAGATTTTGGTACTTTTTGGGTTGAGTCACATCCGGGATTCGAATCACGCTCCCAGAGAGTACTAAGAAAGTGTTATCCCAAATATAACGTGTTTATGTATTTGGACAGACCAGTTAAGTTTTGTCATAGAAACTATGTAAACAGGGTAAAAAATTTGGCCAGATATGCATAAGTTAACTATTTCTTTGTTTTTTTATTGTTTTTTTTCCCACTTCAACTAATTGGTTAGAATAACTTTATTGAAGACAGCATTATTTCTCTTGGATTGCGACCCGTGAAGATTCCGGGGTAGAATAGGTCTTCAGCAACCAATACTTGCCATAAAAGGCGACTATGCGTGTCATAAATGGCGACTAACAGGATCGGGTGGTCAGGCTTGGTTGATACATGTCATCGATCCCAATTGCGTGGATCGATGCTCATGATGTCAATCACTGGATTGTCTGGTCCAGACTCAATTATTTTACAGACCGCCGTCATATAGCTGGAATATTGCTGAGTGCGACGTTAAACAACAAACAAACAAACAAACTTTTGGATTGCCTTATATTTCTGTTGACATTGGGTGTGGCATCTAATTCAAGGGAGATAACTCGTTTGTTGTAGCTGACAAGAAAAAATATTTGGTTATATCATGTAAACAATATGAGCTTTGATATATTTTCTATGCAAACTAAACGTACATATGAAATATTGTTGGATCAAGGCAAATGCATTTTTGTTAAATAAGGCCCATTGAACATCATAAATATCCCTTGATGCTATCAACAAGTGGTTTGTCTTGTCATGACTGTAATATTGCTTTGTATGATATTCACCATTCTGTTCACTCACTCACTGTGTAGCCGATGACACTGGGCTGTCTGTTCAAGTCTTATATTGTGGATTCTGGCTAAACAAGACTTTGTCAATTCTGGACTACCTTTATGGTTGCAGATATGACTTCCCAACAGGACTTCCTTCACTGATATTGTGGGACAAAGGACCAATTTATCATGCAGTGTTAGAAATTGGCAGTAGTCGTGTAGTCCTTGCCAAACTGCCCAATAGTTAAGGTATCATAAGGGCTTGTCAAAATTTGCCAATTTTACAGCTTCCGCTGTGTGCTATCATTATAAGGACTAGTGGACAAAAATGTAAGTTTCTACTGCTGTCATGTAACTGATGCTCTCTTGTCCAGACATACTTTCCACAAATTTCACTTACACATCCAGTGAGCTGTTCTCATCAATAAACCATTTGTTAGCAATGTCAATTGATACCATGGATGGCCTCGACTCAGCAGCAACACAGCTTTGATGTCAGAGTATACACATATAATCAAACATAAAACCATGTACATGAACAGTATGTATAACTTCATCAGTGCAGTAATCAACGTTATTATCACGATGGCCAGCAAAGCGATGATGCATCAACTGTCACTTGAATCAAAAGTTAAGCTGATTGAAGAATACGAATACGATCCTTACCCTAAACAGAAAGATCCTGCTGCAATGAGACAAACAGGGCCTGACATTTTCATATGCATTTTTGTGCATTAAATACAGTGTTCATATTCAGTGTGAGATACCAAGGGACAACTTATGGTAGAATTGAATTTCTGTCAATAAGGATTGCTGTCTCAACCAGATCTCTGTCCCATGCAAGTTGGGTTTACATAGATTCCACTGTTATGAATTGTTGCAAGAGTTTCCTCTTCATCTGACCTTGGCTATGTTATGGACAACATGGCCTTCTCTGTGCCACTTGGCAAATTACTGTTCTGGTTATTAATACTCCATTCACCTTTTCACATCAAAAGGCAAACTCCTCACAGTGATAGCCTGTTTGCAGAGCTCTCTATTCTATCACTGCCACCATCTATGACCAGTCACAGCTCCCTACTGTGCTAGGCGGCCTACAACCCTGCATGGAGTTGAAAACAAATGCCCGACCGTTAGGTTTCAAACAAGTGATGACTGTCTTGATGCCGATTACTCTTCCTCCAGTTAATTTATTTTGTTTGTTAATTTCGAATTTCTGCTTCATTTCAATTTTCTTGTAATTAGTATAGTGGGAATGTAAGGGAAAGGTTGAGTGCTTTTCCATTGTCTGCAGTCTCACCCAATCTGATATAAGAAAAAAAAGTAAAATTCATTTGGAAAATAATAGATTAATCGAAAACCTTTTCCCAGTTCACTGTAGTGGAGGGTCCGCCCAGAGTGGAAGGTCCGGGGTTTGATCCCTGGCCACGTCATACCAAAAGACGTTAAAAGATGGTACTTCTTGTTACCCTGTCTGGCGTTGGGTATTAAGGGGCTAAAACAAGGACTGGCCGGCGCAGAGTCAGTATTCTGTGTCTGAGTGGGATATTCATATTAATCTGCAACATGGTATCTCAGTGAGCTAGCACTATAAATTGGCATCAGTACGGTTTAGTACAAGCAACCACACACGTGCATGCATGTCGCTATATAAGTGCAATACATTTTGGGTTGGAGAGAAAGTCAAGATTCTTATAATGGCTTCTTGCATACTGGGAACAGAATGTGTTACATGCTAGGAGGGGGCGGTCAGGTAGCCTGGTGGTTAAAGCGTTCGCTCGTCACGCCGAAGACCCGGGTTCGATTCCCGACATGGGTACAATGTGTGAAGCCCATTTCTGGTGTCCCCCGCCGTGATATTGCTGGAATATTGCTAAAACCAAACTCACTCACTCACTCACTCACTCACTCACTCACTCACTCACTCACTCACTCACTCAGATGCTAGGAAGGAGCTTCACCAAAAGGTAGTCAAAGGCAGTTTGCAGTGAAGAGTTATGTCCCTTGTTTGTGCTCTTCGTGCAATAAAATCCCAGCCTGCTCTTTGTGTTGTCTTTGGTCTGTCATTACCATGCCCATGTTCTTGGGTTTCACCTAAGTGGGAAATGACTACAACCGATGTGAGTGAGTGAGTTTGGTTTTACTTCGTTTTTAGCAAAATTCACGGCGGGGCTTCACACATTGTACCCATGTGGGGAATCGAACCCGGGCCTTCGGCGTGACGAGCAAACGCTTTAACCACTAGCCGCCTACCCCACCTCCTAACAACCTGTGTGACAGATGCTGAGATGATATCTCGCTAGTGACCAGGTTATTATTCAGCCTATGGACCAACAATGTTTAGAAGTCTTTACAGTGTTGTCACTACCCCTAGTGTACAGTACATAGTCCCTGTGCACTCAAAAGAACCCACTCATCTCATGGTAGATGACCAGATTGTGGAAATCAAATACGTTCATACACCCGAAACACAAGTGTCTAAACGTGTGTTGTCACCTTGGGCATGTGACTTTGTTCAAATGTGCCGCTGTTCACCCAGCAAAGTATAGGTACCCAATATGTGAGATGGAGGTAAAATCCCTTTAGTTCCCAAGGTAGCTTGGTTTGTATACTCCCCAGGGAGTTGAGAATTATAACTGAATGCATATGGATCCACTGGTTGCGAACAAATAAACCACATTTGAGTAGATACTGGTATCTGGGTGTGGAATATGAATGTATTATATAATAATAATATAATAACATGTGTCGTATTTTACTTATCCCCACAGTTGAGCAGACAAGCCTGTAAATGACCAAATGTTCAAAGCAGCATTGCCCACAGCTCGCTCACTCTGACATTTATCTGATGATGGTTTCAGTGAGCTCCGCCACGGCCCAGTGCCAGGAGATCTGTGACCGGGAAGGCAAGACCTGCACACAGGGGGAGGAGAAGGTAGGTTCAGTCAGACATATGTCAAATATGTCAGTGGCTGTGTCATTCTGTCACTTTTAGATTTCAAATTTTCTGAAACTGTTATGTTATTTAATATTGTTTGTGATAATTTAAATGAGGAAATCAGTATTATCCTCATTAGGACGAGATCAGAACAGTGTGAGACATAGAGTCCCATTACAGCCATGAGACAACTTGGTTCATGCTTTTTGACAAATTGATCTGACCTGAATGTCTTGTTTCCAGGGTCATAAAGATTGGTACTCTTTTATGGAAACCTTTCAATGACTGGCCAATTATACTCAGCATTGTATTCTTTTTCAACTACTAAGGTCGTTATTCAGCACCCATTCCATTAGCTGCTTAATTTCAAAATATTTGTTAGATACATGTAATGTAGATGTTGTAGTGGTAGTTGTGAGTGAGTGAGTGAGTTGGGTTTAACGCCACTTTTAACAGTATTCCAGTTATATCACGGCATGTCAGCTTAATGTGGGAGGAAAGCCCGAAGTGATGCAGGTCTCAGACGTTTACCACTTCGGTGAAACCCAGGAGCAAGGGTATGTTGCTGACAAACCTAGAAACATAATTTGGGCGAACTAGGATTCGAACCCACAATCATAGGTTTCTGGCGTGTCCAAGGGACGCAACTCTGCACAGCGAATTGCGGCGCTTTAGAGGACTGGGCCACCCGTGCCCCCCAGTGGTAGTTGTGATACTGTTGTGTGCAAGAAGGGAATTCCTTTGTGAGGTGTCACATGTTAAAGTAGGTCTTCCAGCCTTTGAGTAACACTCTTGTCTTCCTTTATCTGTTTTCTGTAATAACAAATTCTATTCAATTAGTTTTCAATCGAAGATGTTTTGCAACTATTAACCACTGGCGGCTGAAAATACTTACTTTCATTGACAGCCAAATTCCTTGTCAACTGAGCGAGAACGTCGAGCCAAGGAATGGAATGATTTCATAGGCCTGCAGTGTGAACGGAGTGCCACTGTGGACGAGGAGTACACAAGTCAGATCGAGGCTCTACGCAGTCATTACAGTGACCTGGAGAACAAGCTCAGGTCCAAGGTGGTGCTGTGATGACCAGTGGTCAGTGTAGCAGATGTTGGACTCTGTGTTTGATTCCAGTGATGTTTGATGTGAATGTTCCATTTGTTGAGAGACACATAATTCATTTTGCTTATGAAATATATGGTTAATACTTTGTTTGTATACACCACATTTCTCCATCATCATGTGAATACATGTGGCCATGTGGTTGTCATTTCTAAGCAACAAGGCCTGGTTGCAGAAGAAGGAAGACAAGCAGCGATGGTTCAGACCCACTAAAGCTCACATTATATAATATTTCTCAGGCAACATTACCATAGCCTCCACACAATACTTCATGTTCAGTGTATAGCAACCTTGGGTTTGCACAAAGTTTATGCATGGAACTTGATGGGATGGAGTTTATCATCCAAAACTGGTTCCCACAGTAGGTATGGCTAGTTGGTAGGTGAGATCAAGCGTTATCTACATTGTAGATATTGCTGCAATGAAATTGCATCACAATGCTTTGCAGACCATTGTGACTTTATTGGTTACCATGACGTCACAATCAGATGACATCACTAATGGCTTTGCTACTGAAGCTGTTAGCAGTACCTTAACACTTAACTTATCATTGTCTACAAACTGAAAAAGTTGGAAGAATGATGTTAGATGATAAATAAAATCTCACCCTCATGTCTTTTAATATCAAATATATCAACAATCATTGATATATTTGATATCAAAAGACACGAGGGTGAGATTCTCTATTCCTTGAGTTGCACATCATGATACATGGCCTCATTTCATTAATTCATTAAAAATATACATTACACCGCATTGCAGATGGAAAGGGAGGAATGTGGTGTGTACAACCCCATGAAGTATTGATGGTGTGTGAAATGTAACCTCCAGAAGGACTGACATCACATAATGAGATTGTCATGTTCTTTCAGTGCTCTGCTGAACAAAGCTTGCTTGTTATTACCTTTGATTACGACAGTGATATATAAATGATAGTCCAGTTAAATGCACTAGACTCCACACAAAAATATGGGCATGATTTATTACCCGTTAAAGGATCAGTGCATATCATCTTGCATCCTCAGCTCCCTGGGGAGTATACATTGATCAGATGATAAAAATATTAGGTTATGTGTTGCATTTCTCAAGAAAGTCATGTATTTATTTTCACCTGAAATGACATGTTTATTAATCATGAGATATCAATATCGACCCTTCTGGACGATTACGCCTGGGAATGTCGATATATGCACAAAAATTCAGGAAAGGTAAGATGTATCATGAGATTACAGGGCACACACCATGGTTTTCCTGGATGACTTGTGTTGATGGCATGAGGTTGTAACACCTTCAGGTAATGCATCTGAACACCAGATGGAACAGTGTTTTGTACATAGGGAGTTGTGCAATATACATTCCACAATATCAAAATATGTATATTTTTGTATTTTATTTTCAATAAATTGTCATCAGTTGTCATTTTCATGTTGTCTGTATAAGGGTTTCACCTAGCCTATGAAAAGTGGGAGTCATGTGTGGGTGACTCGCTGCATATTGTATTATGAGTCATGAGCTCAACTTAAAGATTCCTGCATAAGTTTTTGCTTGTTAGAAATTGTCATGTTCAGCAGGAAGTTATTTTTATTTCTACCTCCAAGGTTTCAGGGGATCATGCGTTGCCCAGTAGTTTAAGGCAGAGTGCAGAGTTGTGTCCCTTGGGCACATCCGAAACCTGTGATTGTGGTTTGCTTCCCTGTTTGGCCCGATTATGTTTCTAGGTTTGTCGGCACCATACCCGTGCGTGGTCGTGGGTTTCACCGTAAACGTGATATAACTGGAATACTGTTAAAAGTGGCGTTCAACCCAACTCACTCACTCACTGCATTTTGCGCAGATATGTTTCTAGGTTTGTCAATGCCATACCCGTGTTTGAGGTTTTCACCAAGACCTGCATCACTTTAGGATTTCCTCTTACTTTTAGCTGAAATGCTGTGATATAACTGGAATACTTTTCAAAGTACTACTCACTCACACTCACTTCAAAGTTTCAGAAATACAAGCTGTGGTCAACATCATGAACTGATGTGTTGAATTAAACTTGTCATAATGAATTAATAATTAGTTTCCGTCAGTCCCTTGGGTGTGTTACGAGGGGTGGGGGTGGGGGTGTTCACGGATGGCCCCGTCGTATAAGGCGCCGCGAAAAGTCACCCAACTCACTCACTCTATGTACATTGGTCAAAGGGAGGTAAGTGGTTATAGATGAGATAGGTTTATATATATATATTTCAGAAATATTTTATAATTTGTAGCTTATTGCAGATGTAGAGGTAACAAGTAACAGCTGAGAGTAAAGAACTAACAACCAGTGTAACTCTGTTAACAATAATTTAATGTCCTAAAGTATTCAACAAATCCACACAGAGCTCCAGCATTTATTTTCCTCTTACATATAATGTAACCCCTGGGTATCACAGATGAAACTGAAGCAGCTGAAATGTACTTGATGTATTCATAAGAAATGCAATGTTAAAAGATATACTTTCCGAATGTTCATTCTTTTACACGCGTTGTAGGAGAAAGGTAATGTCGATGACCTGACAATCAGAAAGACCTCGGTCGAATATCGTGAGGATCGGTGGTAGAATAGGTCTTCAGCAACCCATGCTTGCCGTAAATGATGACTATGCTTGTCATAAGAGGCGACTAACGGGATCGGGTGGTCAGGCTCGCTGACTTGGTTGATGCATGTCATCGATCCCAATTGCGTGGATCGATGTTCATGATGTCAATCACTGGATTATCTGGTCCAGACTCGATGATTTACAGACCGCCATCGTATAGCGGGAATATTGCTGGGCGTGGCGTTAAACAACAACAACAGTTTACACATTCTCTTGTAAATAATTCCAACTTGGAAAAATAGAAGTGTAAGTGTACATTAAGATTTCACACTTTTGAGTAAAATGGTGCACCCATTCCATTAGCTGCTTAATTTCAAAATATTTGTTAGATACATGTAATGTAGATGTTGTAGTGGTAGTTGTGAGTGAGTGAGTGAGTTGGGTTTAACGCCACTTTTAACAGTATTCCAGTTATATCACGGCATGTCAGCTTAATGTGGGAGGAAAGCCCGAAGTGATGCAGGTCTCAGACGTTTACCACTTCGGTGAAACCCAGGAGCAAGGGTATGTTGCTGACAAACCTAGAAACATAATTTGGGCGAACTAGGATTCGAACCCACAATCATAGGTTTCTGGCGTGTCCAAGGGACGCAACTCTGCACAGCGAATTGCGGCGCTTTAGAGGACTGGGCCACCCGTGCCCCCCAGTGGTAGTTGTGATACTGTTGTGTGCAAGAAGGGAATTCCTTTGTGAGGTGTCACATGTTAAAGTAGGTCTTCCAGCCTTTGAGTAACACTCTTGTCTTCCTTTATCTGTTTTCTGTAATAACAAATTCTATTCAATTAGTTTTCAATCGAAGATGTTTTGCAACTATTAACCACTGGCGGCTGAAAATACTTACTTTCATTGACAGCCAAATTCCTTGTCAACTGAGCGAGAACGTCGAGCCAAGGAATGGAATGATTTCATAGGCCTGCAGTGTGAACGGAGTGCCACTGTGGACGAGGAGTACACAAGTCAGATCGAGGCTCTACGCAGTCATTACAGTGACCTGGAGAACAAGCTCAGGTCCAAGGTGGTGCTGTGATGACCAGTGGTCAGTGTAGCAGATGTTGGACTCTGTGTTTGATTCCAGTGATGTTTGATATGAATGTTCCATTTGTTGAGAGACACATAATTCATTTTGCTTATGAAATATATGGTTAATACTTTGTTTGTATACACCACATTTCTCCATCATCATGTGAATACATGTGGCCATGTGGTTGTCATTTCTAAGCAACAAGGCCTGGTTGCAGAAGAAGGAAGACAAGCAGCGATGGTTCAGACCCACTAAAGCTCACATTATATAATATTTCTCAGGCAACATTACCATAGCCTCCACACAATACTTCATGTTCAGTGTATAGCAACCTTGGGTTTGCACAAAGTTTATGCATGGAACTTGATGGGATGGAGTTTATCATCCAAAACTGGTTCCCACAGTAGGTATGGCTAGTTGGTAGGTGAGATCAAGCGTTATCTACATTGTAGATATTGCTGCAATGAAATTGCATCACAATGCTTTGCAGACCATTGTGACTTTATTGGTTACCATGACGTCACAATCAGATGACATCACTAATGGCTTTGCTACTGAAGCTGTTAGCAGTACCTTAACACTTAACTTATCATTGTCTACAAACTGAAAAAGTTGGAAGAATGATGTTAGATGATAAATAAAATCTCACCCTCATGTCTTTTAATATCAAATATATCAACAATCATTGATATATTTGATATCAAAAGACACGAGGGTGAGATTCTCTATTCCTTGAGTTGCACATCATGATACATGGCCTCATTTCATTAATTCATTAAAAATATACATTACACCGCATTGCAGATGGAAAGGGAGGAATGTGGTGTGTACAACCCCATGAAGTATTGATGGTGTGTGAAATGTAACCTCCAGAAGGACTGACATCACATAATGAGATTGTCATGTTCTTTCAGTGCTCTGCTGAACAAAGCTTGCTTGTTATTACCTTTGATTACGACAGTGATATATAAATGATAGTCCAGTTAAATGCACTAGACTCCACACAAAAATATGGGCATGATTTATTACCCGTTAAAGGATCAGTGCATATCATCTTGCATCCTCAGCTCCCTGGGGAGTATACATTGATCAGATGATAAAAATATTAGGTTATGTGTTGCATTTCTCAAGAAAGTCATGTATTTATTTTCACCTGAAATGACATGTTTATTAATCATGAGATATCAATATCGACCCTTCTGGACGATTACGCCTGGGAATGTCGATATATGCACAAAAATTCAGGAAAGGTAAGATGTATCATGAGATTACAGGGCACACACCATGGTTTTCCTGGATGACTTGTGTTGATGGCATGAGGTTGTAACACCTTCAGGTAATGCATCTGAACACCAGATGGAACAGTGTTTTGTACATAGGGAGTTGTGCAATATACATTCCACAATATCAAAATATGTATATTTTTGTATTTTATTTTCAATAAATTGTCATCAGTTGTCATTTTCATGTTGTCTGTATAAGGGTTTCACCTAGCCTATGAAAAGTGGGAGTCATGTGTGGGTGACTCGCTGCATATTGTATTATGAGTCATGAGCTCAACTTAAAGATTCCTGCATAAGTTTTTGCTTGTTAGAAATTGTCATGTTCAGCAGGAAGTTATTTTTATTTCTACCTCCAAGGTTTCAGGGGATCATGCGTTGCCCAGTAGTTTAAGGCAGAGTGCAGAGTTGTGTCCCTTGGGCACATCCGAAACCTGTGATTGTGGTTTGCTTCCCTGTTTGGCCCGATTATGTTTCTAGGTTTGTCGGCACCATACCCGTGCGTGGTCGTGGGTTTCACCGTAAACGTGATATAACTGGAATACTGTTAAAAGTGGCGTTCAACCCAACTCACTCACTCACTGCATTTTGCGCAGATATGTTTCTAGGTTTGTCAATGCCATACCCGTGTTTGAGGTTTTCACCAAGACCTGCATCACTTTAGGATTTCCTCTTACTTTTAGCTGAAATGCTGTGATATAACTGGAATACTTTTCAAAGTACTACTCACTCACACTCACTTCAAAGTTTCAGAAATACAAGCTGTGGTCAACATCATGAACTGATGTGTTGAATTAAACTTGTCATAATGAATTAATAATTAGTTTCCGTCAGTCCCTTGGGTGTGTTACGAGGGGTGGGGGTGGGGGTGTTCACGGATGGCCCCGTCGTATAAGGCGCCGCGAAAAGTCACCCAACTCACTCACTCTATGTACATTGGTCAAAGGGAGGTAAGTGGTTATAGATGAGATAGGTTTATATATATATATTTCAGAAATATTTTATAATTTGTAGCTTATTGCAGATGTAGAGGTAACAAGTAACAGCTGAGAGTAAAGAACTAACAACCAGTGTAACTCTGTTAACAATAATTTAATGTCCTAAAGTATTCAACAAATCCACACAGAGCTCCAGCATTTATTTTCCTCTTACATATAATGTAACCCCTGGGTATCACAGATGAAACTGAAGCAGCTGAAATGTACTTGATGTATTCATAAGAAATGCAATGTTAAAAGATATACTTTCCGAATGTTCATTCTTTTACACGCGTTGTAGGAGAAAGGTAATGTCGATGACCTGACAATCAGAAAGACCTCGGTCGAATATCGTGAGGATCGGTGGTAGAATAGGTCTTCAGCAACCCATGCTTGCCGTAAATGATGACTATGCTTGTCATAAGAGGCGACTAACGGGATCGGGTGGTCAGGCTCGCTGACTTGGTTGATGCATGTCATCGATCCCAATTGCGTGGATCGATGTTCATGATGTCAATCACTGGATTATCTGGTCCAGACTCGATGATTTACAGACCGCCATCGTATAGCGGGAATATTGCTGGGCGTGGCGTTAAACAACAACAACAGTTTACACATTCTCTTGTAAATAATTCCAACTTGGAAAAATAGAAGTGTAAGTGTACATTAAGATTTCACACTTTTGAGTAAAATGGTGCATTAGTCAATATTCCAACGTTTAGAACAAAAGAAACCATGACAACGAGACCGGAAGTGTACAGTGTATGAATACTGTGTATGAAGCTTGTCCTCTCCCTGTTCTCTACCGGAAATTTGGATAAGAAGATGTTTATGTCCAGTCATTTCGAGGATATGTTTCACTGCTGGACTCGTATATCTGCGACTCTGAGTCTACTTCCTGTACCACTGGAAGAAGCCTATGTCTTCTAACTCCTGTCTATATTTGGCGACGTCATCTGCTCCAAGAGCTCTCATTGGACAACGGGGCGGGCCAACATCCAGACCAGCGAATGACATCATTAGTTTCAAACAGGAAACAGTACTCCCACCTTGCGTCGCTGAGAAGTAAATGTACAAACTGAGATGTAATGCAAATTCTGAAAGTGACATGTTTCTTGCGCTAGGCAGAATACATTGGCAAATATACATCTTCAACAAAATAGTTTTGTGCGTACTAGTACACAAACACTCACATTTTCTTCAAAATTTCAGATGATATAAAAACACAATATCAAGGAGATTGACTTTCGAAATACAAAGAATTGTTTTATCGTTTTCAAAACAACTATATTCCTCAAGAAAAAAAACACGCTATTCTGCTGTAACACAATTTTGTGGCAGACACCAAAACAGCATTTGACAAAATGGCAAAAGATGCCGTCCAAGGTTAAAAATAATAATCATTTGTCACGAACGAAAGTTCAAAGTTCTCCGTTAGTCACATCACATAACCAGCGGAGAATCCGGGTTAGATTTGGCCCCCATCAACCTATGCTTGGCGTTAGAGACGACTAAATAGATCTGGTGGACAGGGCTGGTGATGTGCCATTCAGAACCCGACGGCATGGGTAGTTGCTCATTATATCAATCACCAGGTGATCTCGCCCAGACTCGATTATTTACAGGCCGATATCAAAACACACCTAGTCATACTGACCATAGTTAAAGAGCAGCTTGCATGTCCTCTGTGAACGGTACTGTTCTTTCCGAGCTGTGTCCATGTCCCCGCGGTCCATCGCCTCCATCATACGTTGGTACACCCCCGCCATGAAGTTGTAGGTGGACCCCACAGCCCCGTCCACGCCTAGCACCAGTGCAGATATCAGTTGCTGGGGGAGTACAATGTTTTGTTTATATAAATGGGGCGGTTGATGTGTTCCACAAAATACAAACATTGCCTTGTGGACAGCCAGAGACCATATCATATCGGTATATAATCTCTGAATAAAAGGACATTGTGCCGTACCTGAACACAGCCGAACATGATGTTGTACTTGTACCTGTGCCCTACCTGGTCATAGCCAAACACGATGTTGTATATGTGCCCTACCTGGTCACAGCCAAACAGGATAGTGTATTTGTGTCATACCTGGTCACAGCCAAACAGGATATTGTACCTGTGCCCTACCTGGTCACAGCCAAACAGGATATTGTATTTGTGCCCTACCTGGTCACAGCCAAACAGGATGTAGTACCTGTGCCCTACCTGGTCACAGCCAAACAGGATGTAGTACCTGTGCCCTACCTGGTCACAGCCAAACAGGATATTGTATTTGTGTCCTACCTGGTCACAGCCAAACAGGATAGTGTATTTGTGCCCTACCTGGTCACAGCCAAACAGGATATTGTACCTGTGCCCTACCTGGTCACAGCCAAACAGGATGTAGTACCTGTGCCCTACCTGGTCACAGCCAAACAGGATATTGTATTTGTGTCCTACCTGGTCACAGCCAAACAGGATAGTGTATTTGTGCCCTACCTGGTCACAGCCAAACAGGATATTGTATTTGTGTCCTACCTGGTCACAGCCAAACAGGATATTGTATTTGTGCCCTACCTGGTTACAGCCAAACAGGATGTAGTACCTATGCCCTACCTGGTCACAGCCAAACAGGATGTAGTACCTATGCCTTACCTGGTCACAGCCAAACAGGATGTTGTACCTGTGGCCATTGGCGTCCTCTAGCTGGACACACTCGCTGGCTACAGGCAGGTCCTGGGAGGAGAACTTGACCCCCCGGAGACTGGGCACGACGCCCCTCGCCTTGCGAAGGAAGTCAGCCATGTTCACTGAAGGTCACAAACACTTTTATGTATCAATTTACTGGTATGTGATGTGTGTTCCTATGAGAAATGTATATAAATTACACTATAATATTTTATTATTTTTATATTGCAGCAAAATAATATTTTCCCATCGTTGGATAATCGATAAATGTCACCTCTATTGGTTTTTTCCTCTATACTTATACCAGGTATACTATTTGCTTTGTTAGTCTTATCTTAAGGTTTAAGATGTCGATTACGTTGCATATTAATTTGTGCATACCCAAAATTTGAGATATATAGTAAACTACGGTTATAACGAACTCGAAGGGACCACTAATTTCAGTTCGTAATAACCGTAGTTCGGGAATGGTCGGGGCTAAAAATACGTTCGTTATATCGGTCAGTTCGTGATAAACATAGTTTACTGTATATTTCTTTTACATACTACGATAATAATGTATCTCATTCTAAAGGGTGTATGCTAAATTCTGGCTTCTTACTTAGAGCATACAATGAATGATACGAGTTACTGTCAGTGTATTGTACAGTATTTCAACAAAATACTATTATACTATTATTATCAAGTATGTCAGCATTGTCAGAAAATCACCTTCGTTATCATAGATATCCAAGCTAGTATCACACGTTTGGAGTGAGTGATGCTCTTACGCTGTATCCAGCACAGTAAGTGAGTGAGTTGGGTTTAAAGACGCTTTTAACAGTATTCCAGTTATATCGCAGCGTGTCAGCTTAATGTGGGAGGAAAGCCCGAAGTAATTCCAGTACATTGACAGTTACATGACAGTGAGATTAGACACACCGGAAGTGACTGCACACAATCTCCATCCGATCCCCATTTAAATCTGCTCTCATGCGGGGGCTTAATCGCCACGATTGTCTCAACGTTTTATTACTCTCGTAAAATAGTAACTTGTACAACAACTTCATTACAAATTTATTCTAAAGAAGTAAAATTATTAATTTATAAATTATACACGTATTACCCCTATCAATATTATCCATATAAGATACTTCTTCACTGTTTATTAAGTTGAAAATGTACAGTGAAAGTTAAATCTGGATTCTTTTATACACAAGAAATCTGTTAGCACTGTTTTTAGAAGATTTATATAACTCATTTTCTCACCGTAGAAATGATCCCAAATACATATACTCACGTTCTACACAGGTGAGAGGGGGTACGTGGTACAGGTAGAGGGGCAAGGTAGGGGCAGCCTCGCACACACGCCGCATGTACTCAACCAGGTGATCTACAAAAAGTATATGTACTCAGCAAGGTGATCTATAGAAAGTATATGTACTCAACCAGGTGAGCTTAAGAAAGTTTATGTACTCAACCAGGTGATCTACAGAAAGTATATGTACTCAACTAGGTGAGCTACAGAAAGTATATGTACACAACCAGGTGATCTACAGAAAGTATATGTACTCAACCAGGTGAGCTACAGAAAGTATATGTACTCAACCAGGTGATCTACAGAAAGTATATGTACACAACCAGGTGAGCTACAGATAGTATATGTACTCAACCAGGTGAGCTACAAAAAGTTTATGTACTCAACCAGGTGATCTACAGAAAGTATATGTACTCAACCAGGTGAGCTACAGATAGTATATGTACTCAACCAGGTGAGCTACAAAAAGTTTATGTAATCAACTAGGTGAGCTACAGATAGTATATGTACACAACCAGGTGATCTACAGATAGTATATGTACTCAACCAGGTGAGCTACAGAAAGTATATGTACTCAAACAGGTGAGCTACAGATAGTATATGTACACAACCAGGTGATCTACAGATAGTATATGTACACAACCAGGTAAGCTGTAGAAAGTATATGTACTCAACCAGGTGAGCTTAAGAAAGTATATGTACTCAACCAGGTGAGCTTAAGAAAGTTTATGTACTCAACCAGGTGATCTACAGAAAGTATATGTACTCAACTAGGTGAGCTACAGAAAGTATATGTACACAACCAGGTGATCTACAGAAAGTATATGTACTCAACTAGGTGAGCTACAGAAAGTATATGTACTCAACCAGGCGATCTACAGAAAGTATATGTACTCAACCAGGTGAGCTACAGATAGTATTATGTACTCAACCAGGTGAGCTACAAAACGTTTATGTACTCAACCAGGTGATCTACAGAAATTATATGTACTCAACCAGGTGAGCTACAGATAGTATATGTACTCAACCAGGTGAGCTACAAAAGTTTATGTACTCCACCAGGTGAGCTACAGATAGTATATGTACACAACAAGGTGATCTACAGATAGTATATGTACTCAACCAGGTGAGCTACAGAAAGTATATGTACTCAAACAGGTGAGCTACAGAAAGTATATGTACTCAACCAGGTGATCTATAAAAAGTTTATGTACTCAAACAGGTGATCTACAGAAAGTATATGTACTCAACCAGGTGAGCTACAGAAGTATATGTACTCAACTAGGTTATCTACAGAAAGTATATGTACTCAACAGGTGATCTAGAGAAAGTATGTCCACTGTTTCTCTGCGAAAATTCTCTGGAGAAAAGTCAGTCGAAAAGCAAAATGCTTCTTTAATAACAACACCCCTCTCAGACAAATCCTCGATTGACATTATAAGCACCGGCCTACCAGGATGCGATGACGTGCAATCAACAATGTCACATAGTCTAACCAACGAACCATTTCTTCTCCTCTCACAGCAAGAATATATTATTAGGCGTTATCAGTGCTAAGCTATTCCAGCAATCTCCGAGCGGCCCATCTGTATCAAGCAACCTTTGTCAATTGATGACGATACGTGAGTGAGTGAGTATGGTTTTACGCCCCTTTTAGCAATATTCCAGCAATATCACGGCGGGGGACACCAGAAATGGGCTTCACACATTGTACCCATGTCGGGAGTCGAACCCGAGTCTTCGGCGTGACGAGCGAACGCTTTAACTACTAGGCTACCCGACAGACCCTATGATGACTGTACGTGCGGCATCTAACAATTTTGCTGTATCTGGTCACACACCCGAACAGTATTTTCAGTGATTTTTGATAAAACTATACCTTGCAAATTCATACAAACTTTAATTTTTGTATCATGTAATGGACAGGGTTATGGATGTGACAGACCAATCTCATAAGCTTGGTATCACGATCCGAAAAATATGCAAATGAAATCACCTTGTAGGAACTAGATTGAGTGAACGGTATACATCGATGTGGTGTTTACATCTCAAAAGATATTGAACAAAGTTCCCTACATGAAAAAACAGGTGTTTCCCGGTGTGTCAGTGCTTACGTTAACGGCCATGGCTGCAAACCATGTGGCACCATATCTTGACATTCGTCATCACTCGCCCCTTTCCGTAAGACTCGTCACCCTATCGATGAATGTAATGTGCGAAAATTCGACGAACCAATCAGAATGCGCGTATGACTTCAAATACTTCGGGCAAAGAAGCCCTCAAGAATAATTTTTGATTTTACATATGTCTTGCATTTAAAGATGCAGTTATATGTGTTCAATCATACTGTACAATAGTATTAGTCCCTATGTGTTTTCAATAGCATCTGGAATATATTTGATATATGGGGGAAATATACGCCAATCATTACGCAACGAGTTGACAATTCTTTTAGTTATGCCCGTTAGCACTAAGACGGAACCCAAGGCGACAAGAGGGTCACGAGTCGCTATTCGGCTTGTCCCGGAATAACACGAGTTGTCCACGAATGTATATCGTAAATGGGGCAGTTCACTCAGACGTTATATTCCAACGCGGTTTCTAAAGTTACTACGGCCAATAGAAACATTTACATGTTTTAAACTTCGATTATTATAAGAAGGACATTATATTATAAAGAGACTATTACCATCGTGTGCTTCCGAATCGTAAACACGATATTATTCGAAAATAAAATAAATATGTATTACGATCGCCAAATGATCGCTTAATACAATATATTTTCCAAATGTATTATATTAACGACAGGAAAACTCACTCAGCTAATAATCCTTATCTCACAAACCTATTGAACATGAGAGGTAGATATGTGTGGTGTCGCTGTGAAGCATCACCTGCCTACAATGGTGGGGCGGAAGAACTGTGGAATCGATGGCATCATCTACCTACAATGGTGGGACGGAAGAATTGTGGAGGGATGGCATCACCTACCTACAGTGGTGAGACGGACGAACTGTGGAATGATGGCATCACTTACCTACAGTGGTGAGACGGACGAACTGTGGAGGAATAGCATCACCTACCTACAGTAGTGGGCCGGAAGAACTGTGGAATGATGGCATCACTTACCTAAAGTGGTGGGATGGAAGAACTGTGGAGGAATAGCATCACCTACCTACAGTAGTGGGCCGGAAGAACTGTGGAATGATGGCATCACTTACCTAAAGTGGTGAGACAGACGAACTGTGGAGGAATAGCATCACCTACCTACAGTAGTGGGCCGGAAGAACTGTGGAATGATGGCATCACTTACCTACAGTGGTGAGACGGACGAACTGTGGAGGAATAGCATCACCTACCTACAGTAGTGGGCCGGAAGAACTGTGGAATGATGGCATCACTTACCTTAAGTGGTGGGACGGAAGAACTGTGGAGGAATAGCATCACCTACCTACAGTAGTGGGCCGGAAGAACTGTGGAATGATGGCATCACTTACCTAAAGTGGTGAGACAGACGAACTGTGGAGGAATAGCATCACCTACATACAGTGGTGGGACGGAAGAACTGTGGAATGATGGCATCACTTACCTAAAGTGGTGAGACGGACGAACTGTGGAGGAATGGCATCACTTACCTACAGTGGTGGGACGGAAGAACTGTGGAGGGATGGCATCACCTACCTACAGTGGTGGGACGGAAGAACTGTGGAGGGATGGCATCACTTACCTACAGTGGTGGGACGGAAGAACTGTGGAGGAATGGCATCACTTACCTACAGTGGTGAGACGGACAACTGTGGAGGGATGGCATCACCTACCTACAGTGGTGGGACGGACGAACTGTGGAGGAATGGCATCACCTACCTACAGTGGTGAGACGGACGAACTGTGGAGGAATGACATCACCTACCTACAGTGGTGGGACGGAAGAACTGTGGAGGGATGGCATCACTTACCTACAGTGGTGGGATGGAAGAACTGTGGAGGGATGGCATCACTTATCACAGTGGTGAGACGGACGAACTGTGGAGGAATGGCATCACCTAGCTACACTGGTGGGCCGGAAGAACTGTGGAATGATGGCATCACCTACCTACAGCGGTGGGACGGACGAACTGTGGAGGAATGGCATCACCTACCTACAGTGGTGGGACGGAAAAACTGTGGAGGGATGGCATCACCTACCTACAGTGATGGGACGGAAGAACTGTGGAATGATGGCATCACCTACCTACAGTGGTGGGACGGAAGAACTGTGGAGGAATGGCATCACTTACCTACAGTGGTGAGACGGACAACTGTGGAGGGATGGCATCACCTACCTACAGTGGTGGGACGGAAGAACTGTGGAGGAATGGCATCACCTACCTACATTGGTGAGACGGACGAACTGTGGAGAAATGGCATCACCTACCTACAGTAGTGGGACGGAAGAACTGTGGAGGGATGGCATCACTTACCTTAAGTGGTGGGACGGAAGAACTGTGGAGGGATGGCATCACTTACCACAAGTGGTGGGACGGAAGAACTGTGGAGGGATGGCATCACTTACCTTAAGTGGTGGGACGGAAGAACTGTGGAGGAATGACATCACTTACCTTAAGTGGTGGGACGGAAGAACTGTGGAGGGATGGCATCACTTACCTTAAGTGGTGGGACGGAAGAACTGTGGAATGATGACATCACTTACCTTAAGTGGTGGGACGGAAGAACTGTGGAGGGATGGCATCACTTACCTTAAGTGGTGGGACGGAAGAACTGTGGAGGGATGGCATCACTTACCTTAAGTGGTGGGACGGAAGAACTGTGGAGGGATGGCATCACTTACCTTAAGTGGTGGGACGGAAGAACTGTGGAGGAATGACATCACCTACCTTCAGTGGTGAGACGGACGAATTGTGGAGGGATGGCATCACCTACCTACAGCGGTGGGACGGAAGAACTGTGGAATGATGGCATCACCTACCTACAGCGGTGAGACGGACGAATTTTGGAGGGATGGCATCACCTACCTACAGCGGTGGGACGGAAGAACTGTGGAATGATGGCATCACCTACCTTCAGTGGTGAGACGGACGAAATGTGGAGGGATGGCATCACCTACCTACAGCGGTGGGACGGAAGAACTGTGGAATGATGGCATCACCTACCTACAGCGGTGAGACGGACGAATTGTGGAGGGATGGCATCACCTACCTACAGCGGTGGGACGGAAGAACTGTGGAATGATGGCATCACCTACCTACAGTGGTGAGACGGACGAACTGTGGAGGGATGGCATCACTTACCTACAGCGGTGGGACGGAAGAACTGTGGAATGATGGCATCACCTACCTACAGTGGTGAGACGGACGAACTGTGGAGGGATGGCATCACTTACCTACAGCGGTGGGACGGAAGAACTGTGGAATGATGGCATCACCTACCTACACTGGTGGGCCGGAATTACTGTGGAGGGATGGCATCACCTACCTACAGTGGTGGGGCGGAAGAATTGTGGAGGGATGGCAGCAATGGCATCAACGCCGATCTCAACTGCATGTTTGGCCTATGACGAAAAATGCGATAAAGATTAACGAAATGGATACGAATTCAAATCAGTCTTATATTATTATAGCAAGTACGTAATACGAATTGTATCTGTAGACTTTAGATGGGACTTTATATGGGACAGTCCTGGGTAAGCATGTATGTCCCAAGCAACCTATGCTTGTCGTAAGAGGCGACTAAATGGATCGGGTGGTCAGGATCGGTGCCTTTTTGGTTGCGTGTCATCCTTTCCCAATTTCGTGGATCGATGCTCATGATGTCAATCACTGGTTTGACAGGTCTAGACTCAATTATTTTCAGACCACGTCATAGCTGGAATGTAGCAGATATTACACATGTCAAACTGACAAATGAATGTCATCCTGTACACTGTCGTTCATCTTTAGCCATTACGGGGTGAAATTATTTCCAAATTTTCTGACAAACATTTCAATATATCTAAGTTTGTTTATAGACATATGTTGAGTCTTCTGGAGTTTACTATTCCATATTTGGTAACACACACTGACACTCACATTAAGTGATCAAAGACACATAACACCAATTCATAACCTATTTCACATAAGGGAAACATAATTGTACTAACCAACGTTGTGAGACTAAACTGACAAACGTCGGAGACCTGCATCTCTTCGGGCTTTCCTCCCACATCAAGGGCGTTGGGGTAGCCTGCAGGTTAAAGCGATCGCTCGTCACGCCGAAGACCCGGGTTCGAATCCCCACATGGGTACAATGTGTAAAGACCTTTTCTGGTGTGCCGTGCCGCGCCCCCATATTGCTGGAATATTGCTTAAAGCGGCGTAAAACATTACTTACTCACTCACTCACTCACTTCTTCCACATCAAGCTGACGCGCCGTGATATAAATGGAATACCTGCCAAAGCGGCGTTAAATCAACCTCACTCAACCACTCTTCTGAGAAATCAGGTCCTATGTAAGCGCTCGTTAAATCTCCAGGATCATGAACAACCCGCACTTTAGACTACTGGTCTACGTGGAGGTGAGAAATCTATCCACTGAGTTTCTTATGACAGCTGCTGTCTTACTCGCTGGATCTTTTTTTCAATGATAATACCACAATGTCTGTTTGCTTCTTGAAAACGTGTTTTGTGATACTTTCAGGTTGAAAATGCTTATGTTTATTTTAACATTATTTAGTCACTGACAAAGCCATCAATCAAACTCTTCCGCTCGTGAAATATATTTAGCCTTGTTGCAACAATCCATTTTAAGTGTAACTATAAACGACAAAACCTTTAACATGCTCATGGGAACTATCTGCTTGAAGCTTGAGTCCTTGAATGTTGTAACCTTGATCAAACAACCTCTGAGCAAGAGTCGTATGACGCATTTGAAACCTTCGTTGAAAGAGCATGCTTGTTCTATCTAAAAAGTTGCGAAATGTCAACGCCAAAAGCTGAAGATGCTGGAATATATGTCGACATAAAGGGAAAGTTGACTATGGGAAAGTTGAAGTCATCCCTCTTGTCAAACATTCTTGTGGACATTTTCTTGTCACTCGGAATCTTTATGCATAGATCTAAATATGAAACAGATGATGTGTCTGTATGACTCAATGACGCGAGTGGGTGACTCAATGTTGCTTAACGCCGTAGTCAGCAATATTCCAGCTAAATGGCAGCAGTCTTCAAACCTTCGAGGAGAACTAGTGACCGTCAACATGAGCAGCAATCCACGTCATCGGGGTACGAGGACAGACATTCAGCCAAGTTACCAGTCACACCACCGGATTTAATAGTGTTGTGGACATTTTCTTGTCACTCGGAATCTTTATGCATAGATCTAAATATGAAACAGATGATGTGTCTGTGTATGACTCAATGTAGCGAGTGGGTGACTGAATGTTGCTTAACGCCGTAGTCAGCAATATTCCAGCTAAATGACAGCAGCCTTTAAACCTTCGAGGAGAACTTGTGACCGTCAACATGAGCAGCAATCCATGCCATCGGGGTACGAGGAGACACATTCAGCCAAGTCACCGAGTCATACCACCGGATTCAATAGTGTCGCTTCTTGCAATAAGGAAACAGTGCTGAGTCTCCAACCCCCAATGACGGGGTATCATGACGTAAAATGGGCTTCACACATTGCACCCAAGTGGGGATTCGAACCCAGGTCGTCGGGTCTTTAACCACTAGGCTACCCCGCCGCCCCTGTAATACCTGACCGAAATAGGAAAAGAACATAAATACCAAGGTTTGGGTGTCCCGAAGGTTGGCACATCCCACGTGCATAATGATGGTGTCTAGCCTGAAAGACAAGGGGCAGTCATGTTTATATAGTATTGGTGTGTTGGGCTAAACTAGGCTTTGAACACTATTTCAGTAAAATATCGGCGTGAAAACAAAATGCGACGTCATATGTAGACGTGTACCACGTTGCTGAAACCAACGCGCGCAGATGTGGTGCCGACAGACCAAACATCATAGTCGCGGTGAATCCAGGGTTCGAACACGACGACAAGCGGATCCTGATTCGGTCATAAGACTCGAGTTTTCAAGGCCATTTTTGGCACCTTTTACCACCAACCCCCCGTGTACTCTGAAACAATTATATGTCTTCTTCATCATTGCATTTTCATGACATTATGTAGTCCACACCGACGGGGTGCGACACACATGCTCCACTTCATCAAGATATCACGATATTATGTGTTTTTCTTCTTTTTGTTCCCAAATCTGCATCTTCCAACAAAACGCCCAAAGGCGTAAGTGCCCATGGTTGCATATCACGGATATTGACTATTGTTTTGGACGTAACGCGTGATGAAGTGTAGAAGCGTGTTTCAAAAATAGAAGAAAGGTCTGCATTATGGATGACGGAAATCCAACAACAGCCTCCTGATCAGTAGTCAGGCACTCTAACGATTAGTAACCAGTATACCACAGAACTGAGTGAGTGAGTGAGTTGGGTTTTACGCCACTTTTAACAGTATTCCAGTTATATCACGGCGTGTCAGCTTAATGTGGGGGGAAAGCCCGAAGTGATGCAGTTTTGCAACTTCGGTGAAACCAAAGAGCACGGGTGTGGTGCTGACAAACCTAGAAACATTATCGGGGCGAACTGGGATTCGAACCCACAATCATAGGTTTCTGGCATGTCCAAGGGACGCAACTCTGCACAGGGAATTGCGGCGCCTTAGACGACTGGGCCACCCGTGCCCCCTACCACAGAACTGGATGAAGATAGTTGGTTCATTAGAAGGTGGTGTTCGAGGGACATGCTGATATTGTGGTGGTGTTCGAGGGACATATTTATATTGTGGTGGTGTTCGAGGGACATGATGATATAGTGGTGGTGTTCGGGGGACATAATGATATTGTGGTGGTGTTCGAGGGACATAATGATATTGTGGTGGTGTTCGAGGGACATGCTGATATTGTGGTGGTGTTCGAGGGACATGATGATATAGTGGTGGTGTTCGAGGGACATAATGATATTGTGGTGGTGTTCGAGGGACATAATGATATTGTGGTGGTGTTCGAGGGACATAATGATATTGTGGTGGTGTTCGAGGGACATGCTGATATTGTGGTGGTGTTCGAGGGATATGATGATATTGTGGTGGTGTTCGAGGGACATAAGGATATTGTGGTGGTGTTCGAGGGATATGATGATATTGTGGTGGTGTTCGAGGGACATAAGGATATTGTGGTGGTGTTCGAGGGACATGATGATATAGTGGTGGTGTTCGAGGGACATGATGATATTGTGGTGGTGTTCGAGGGACATGATGATATAGTGGTGGTGTTCGAGGGACATGATGATATAGTGGTGGTGTTCGAGGGACATGGTGACATTGGAATTTTAGGGACTTGTTGTTACGATGGTATTTGAGTGACATGCTAATACAATGGTAATTTAGGGACTTGTTGATACGATGGTATTTGAATGACATGCTAATACAATGGTAATTTAGGGACTTGTTGATACGATGGTATTTGAGTGACATGCTCATACAATGGTATCTTAGGGACTTGTTGATACGATGGTATTTTAGTGACATGCTAATACAATGGTATTTTAGGGACTTGTTGATACGATGGTATTTGAGTGACATGCTAATACAATGGTATTTTAGGGACTTGTTGATACGATGGTATTTGAGTGACATGCTAATATAATGGTATTTTAGGGACTTGTTGATACGATGGTATTTGAGTGACAAGCTAATACAATAGTATTTTAGGGACTTGTTGATACGATGGTATTTGAGTGACATGCTTATACAATAGTATTTTAGGGACTTGTTTATACGATGGTATTTGAGTGACAAGCTAATACAATGGTATTTTAGGGACTTGTTGATACGATGGTATTTGAGTGACATGCTCATACAATATTATTTTAGGGACTTGCTGATACGATGGTATTTGAATGACATGCTCATGCAATGAAATTTTAGAGACATACTGAAACGATGATATTTAATGCAAATGTTGATGTTCAGATACTATCTGAGTGATCTGCTGATAAGCAGGGTCACTAGATTGTAATTACACTTACCGTCCATTGTTGGCCTTGACCCATTCAGCAGCGATGTCCTTCCTTTCCTCCAAGGTCAAAGACAACCCTTCCCCAGTCGCCCCGTTTACTACAGAAAGGAACTATATCTCAACAAACAACACCTACGTCTGTTCACACTGTAAGATCTTTAAGCTTCTTCTCTTTCTATTTCAAAGCGTTTGTCAGAGTCGTGTATAGAATGTAAGCGACCGACCATTTGATTTTGGCTGGGATTTTTTTTAAAAAACAGCAACAACATATTGTCGCCGAAAATATTTGAAAACAAAATTATCCTTCAGACTGTTGAAAAAATAAAGAAATTGCCTGCCACAAAAGTTGCAGTGTTAAACGTGTTTTACTTTAAATAAAATCAGGTTCATTGTTATATACAAAAATATATATGTTTTTGTAGTTGTAGCTGAAATATATCTTATCTAAAAAAAACCAACCCAGTCCCTAGTTTAAATCTATGACTATAGGTTACTGACATCATCGTAGTAAACATGGTTTTGATTTTGACAACGGCCCCAAATTTCACTTGGCTTAGCATTAAAGTCTTTATTGAGAAAAAGGTTTCAGTGAAATAGGAATTCGAATCTCAACAGTCTCCAATATACAGTTTTTATTGCCTTGTTTCGAAATTATATCATAATCAGTGAATGTGATTTTTAGAATCATTCGTTATACTTTTAGTAAATTCTATTGACACGAATATGTTATTTTCGACTAATACAGGAACGACAATTTTAGCTTACCGAAGACGTGTTTAACACCGACATCTTTCAAATACTTGATATGCGCCTCGATCTTGCTGAGTACAACATCTCTGAAACATGCAACACCATTCACTGTACTTTACATGCTTGTAATATACAACACCAGTCACTATACTATACAACATGCTTGTAATATACAACACCATTCACTGTACTTTACATGCTTGTAATATACACACCATTCACTATACTTTACACGCTTGTAATATACAACACTATACTATGCAACATGCTTGTAATATACAACACCATTCATTATGCTATACAACATGCTTGTAATATACAACACCAGTCACTATACTTTACATGCTTGCAATATACACACCATTCACTATACTTTACACGCTTGTAATATACAACACCAGTCACTATACTATACAACATGCTTGAAATATACACACCATTCACTATACTTTACACGCTTGTAATATACAACACCATTCACTATACTATGCAACATGCTTGTAATATACAACACCATTCATTATACTATACTTTACACGCTTGTAATATACAACACTATACTATGCAACATGCTTGTAATATACAACACCATTCATTATGCTATACAACATGCTTGTAATATACAACACCATTCACTATACTTTACATGCTTGCAATATACACACCATTCACTATACTTTACACGCTTGTAATATACAACACCATTCACTATACTATGCAACATGCTTGTAATATACAACACCATTCATTATACTATACAACATGCTTGTTATATACAACACTATACTATGCAACATGCTTGTAATATACAACACCATTCACTGTACTTTACATGCTTGTAATATACAACACCAGTCACTATACTTTACATGCTTGTAATATACAACACCATTCACTGTACTTTACATGCTTGTAATATACACACCATTCACTATACTTTACACGCTTGTAATATACAACACTATACTATGCAACATGCTTGTAATATACAACACCATTCATTATGCTATACAACATGCTTGTAATATACAACACCATTCACTATACTTTACATGCTTGTAATATACAACACCATTCACTGTACTTTACATGCTTGCAATATACACACCATTCACTATACTATACACCATGCTTGTAATATACAACACTATACTATGCAACATGCTTGTAATATTCAACACCATACACTATGACATACAGCACCCATGACACCATTCACCTTCATGTACAAAATTACATGTAAATAATGAACTGTTATACAACACAATGCACTATCTCTTTATAACACAATCCACTGTAATATTCAACACAATGTACTGTAATATGCAAATTATGCATTGTCGTATACAGCACCGTGCATCACGTGTTTTATCCCCAATAAACATTAACCTTGTTAATCCGTACCCCGTTTGTGTCGGGAACCTTTACATGTGTTCAAAGATTATTACTCTGAAAAAAATATTTGTTTAGTATTTGCTTACCCAGAAGAATTCACAAAGAACGGCTTCGTCCGGATTAACGAGGTGTCACTGTATATGCATATATTGGATACGTTTACGATGCCAGCTGTATAATAACACGTATCCTTTTTTAAAGTGTTCGATTTTTTTCCTCATCAAACTATAATTATAAGGCATAAACATCTGAAACTAACCCCTAGAGATGCCAGGTTAGAATTTGTCCCCAGCAACCTATGCTGGTCGTAAGGCGACCAACAGGATCGGGTGGTCAGACTTGGTTTTGTTTTGTTTTGTTTGTTGTTTAACACCACACTCAGTAATATTCCAGCCATATGACGGCGGTCTGTAAATTATCGAGTCTAGACCATACAATCCAGTGATTGATATCATGAGCATCGATCCACGCAATTTGGATCGATGACATGCATCAACCAAGTCAGAGAGTCTGACCACCCGATCCCGTTAGTCGCCTCTTACGACAAGCATAGTCGCCTTTTACGGCAAGCATGGGTTGCTGAAGATCTATTCTACCCCGGATCTTCACGGGTAGGTCAGACTTGGTGACTTGATTGCGTGTAATCCTACCCCGATGGCCTGAATTGTTGCTCATAATATTGCTCATGATATCAATCACTGGATTGTCTGGTCCAGATTCGATTATTTACAGGCCGCCGTCATATATTTGGAATATTTCAGATTTCGGCGTTAAACAACAAATACATATTCAAACATAACCTTGTCCCGGTTGTACATAGGTAACAACCTATCTGTTGAACCAGAACCTAATCTACCAAGTACATGATATGTCCTATCACGGTCTACACCTCGTTCTGCGGTTATAACGTACATCAACCACGAACAAGGAGATTAATGTGAACCCCACGGGGACAATGAGAAACAGATGGTTTTATTATCATAGACTGATGTACCAGTTGTCGTCGTTATGCACTTACCCATTGTCGTCAAATGGAGTGAAGGTAGCCGCCACAAGGCCTGTCACTCGGAATTCAGCCATACTTGTGTGCCTTTTATCCAAAAATGGTCTCTCTATAAGGACGTGATATCTGTATCTATCAACTATCTTATAGGCCAAAGCACAACCGCATTAGAAGTCCCGACTTCTGCCCCTTATCAAAGGACATGTAGCTACTTTCGTGAATACTACTTCTTATATTGACCTACCTAGTGGGTAGACCGTCTGCCCGGAGAGCAGAAGTCGGTGGTTCGATCCCATGTCGCGTCATACCAAAAGACTTTAAAAGATGTTTTTTGTTGTTTCCCTGCCTCTCGCGGGGCAAAAGGATAAAACAAAGAATGTTCGGATCAAAATCAGAATACTGTTTGCTTGATTGTTTGGTTGCTTTTTGTTGTTGAACTTGGGCATTGTATCTCAGTTGGCTGGCGCTATAAAACCGGCTTTAGTCCGGAATAAATACATACGCATAAACATACACATACACAAACGTGTGTATGCACATCGCTATGTATGTGGAATAATCTTGAAGACGTTAAACCCCATTTCACCTTATCACTTCAAACATTGACCAGATAGTCACAAGCAGTAGTTTTTCTGGCCGAAGCGGGCTGATGGCGAACACTTTTCAGACATGTTAGTCAGGTTCAATCCCATCAGAGGCATGGTTCGTGTGTTCGCTCGCCAAATGCTGAGTCCTGGTTCACATCCAAGAAGATATTCCAGGATTTGTCATATATTGACGCCCGTGATATGGGTTCGTGTCTTTGAGTGGAAAGTGCTAGTTGCAAGTGTCTTTTACGCGAAGTGTTAACATTTTACACATACATTCGCAGAGTAGTTGGACCCGTGACAGATCATTATTTGGATGAGTGTGAGTGCATGAGTTAGATTTAAGGCCGCTTTGAACAGCAACCCCGTTACATCACGGCGTGTCAGCTTAATGTGGGAGGAAAACCCGAAGCAGGTCTCAGACGTTTACCACAGCGAATTGCGGCGCCTTAGACGACTGGGCCACCCGAGGACCCATATTTGAACGAATAGTGGCGATGACGTACTTCCCTCCATGTATTACGTACAAACTACAACGTCTATTAATGATGCCACCAATAGGGTACGAGTACCACTTCTTCATATTTCACTTTGCAGATGTATCAGTCAATCAACGAATTGTCCAGTAAACTTAACGTGATTATGTACAATGACCGCGGGTGGTATGTAATGTAACTACGCTATAACTAATAGCGACAAAACCATTTACATAAGCCCCTTACAAGATATCTCTTCTTGTACGATTCCGACTATATCATGAGCAGGCGTATATGAATCAGTATAAAAAGTGATGATACCAGGTGTTCGCGAAAAGGTGAGTGTGTCCTGCCCCACCGGAGGCACCCGTCACAAACATGAAAAGGCAAGTCAATTGTTCACCTGAAAACACCTGAAAACACACTGAAACATATATGATTCAAGCCGAAATAGGGAAATGCATCTGACATCAATTTTGTCACTGATGTTCAAATTTGGAAATCTCCCCCACATGGTACCATTATACTTTATTAAAACATTTCTGAAGCCTAGTAGGTGGTAATCGTGATTGAACAACCTCTGAGCCGTATGACGCTCTTTGAAGTCTTCTTTAGAAAGAGCATCCTCGATTGTAGCTCAAAACTTGTGAAATGTAGACACCAAGTGCTGGAGCTGCTGCAATACTGCACGACAAAAAGGAAATGTTGGCAATTGGGAGGTTGTCGGTAATCAAGGAGTGATAAATAAAGGGTTTGTCTTGAACCTAGAATAGTACCGTTATCTGTTTTTCTACGTCTGTGTAACGAGCATAAATTCATAGTATTTTCAGATCGTTACAAATCACCCTGTATATGAAGTACAGCCTGGGTGTTTATTGCTCCCAATTAAGCGAAGTTCAAACGAATGGGTTGACAAAACCAGAGATGAAGTACCAATATCAAAGGATGTGTCTACAATACGATCTGTGATTACTTCCCTACACGTAAGGGGCGGTCGGGTAGCCTAGTGGTTAAAGCGTTCGCTCGTCACGCCGAAGACCCGTGTTCGATTCCCGACATGGGTACAATGTGTGAAGCCTATTTCTTGTGTCCCCCGTCGTGATATTGCTGGAGTATTGCTAAAAGCGGTGTAAAACCATACTCACTCACTCATTCACTCCCTACACGTAAATACATTGTCTATATACACAGGCCATAATGAGACGAGGTGGCAATCTTGAGCTCTGTTTACCGTTATCGTCAGTATCTTGAAGTGGCATTTAGAAGCCGTAACATGAGTGCAGACGCACTTCTTAATTCTCTTAGTGCTGCGTTTCGGTATATGTGCTAGTACCGTTATCAAGCAGGTGTCTCTTGCTTGCAATTGATAACTCTGCCTGCAACTGTCCCGAAACAGGCACATTAATACGTGGTTTAATATCTAGTCTTTGCCGGATCTCAAGAAGACGTATTCAATTCGGTATGCGAGCGTCTGGAAGATTCTGATTAAACAGAGGGCACGGGTGGCCCTGTCGTCTAAGGTGCCGCGATTCGCTGAGCAGAGTTTGCGTCCCTTAGGAATGCCAGAAACCTATGATTGTGGGTTCGAATTCCGGTTCGCCCCGATTATGTTTCTAGGTTTGTCAGCACCATACCCGTGCTCGTGGGTTTCAACAAAGTGGTAAACGTCTGAGACCTGCATCACTTGGGGCTTTCCTGCCACATTAAGCTGACACGCCGTGATATAACTGGAATACTGTTAAAAGCGGCGTTAAACTAAACTCACTCTTATTTTAAAATCATACCTGGGTGCCGTTGTACAAAGCGATCTTAGCACTAAAGTGATCGTAACTCCCATACCTTAACATAGACTTACGACAGTCGTAGCGCTAAGGTTGTTTTGAACAACGGAACCCTCGTCAAATAAGTTGCGTCGAAGGCTATAAATTAAATACTGACTTTCCTGTTCTGTTCATGTTTGACACGTGATAGCGACCGGAAATCCATAGAAAAAGGACACGCCCCTGGTATCGTTAAGAACACTTTGTATCGACCCTTCATTCCTAAGACGTCAGTAGTTTTTTACTCGAAATTGTCCCGTGGACCACAGTTACAAAACACATTACGGGGAAGATGTATGTGTTTGGAATTTTCGGCACTGCGCTATCAAACGTGGCGTGCTAATCTATAGCTAGGGGACACGGGTGGCCCAATCGTCTTTGGCGCCGCAATTCGCTGTGCAGAGTTGCGTCCCTTGGGCACGCCAGGAACCTGTTGTTTTGGGTTCGAATCCCAGTTCGCCCCGATTATGTTTCTGGGTTTGTCACCACCATACCTGTGCTCGTGGGTTTCACCAAAGTGGTAAACATCTAAGACCTGCATCACTTCAGGCTTTCCTCCCACATTAAGCTGACACGCCGTGATATAACTGGAATACCGTTAAAAGCGGCGTAAAACACAACTCATTCACGTATGTTAAGCTAGCTCGAGAGACCACTGTATTTGTACATCAATATCTAAGTACAGGTAGAGCACGAGGACCCGACGTTTATTAATCGATGACACACGTGGTTAACACGTCCAATACGCGGATTTTTATTTTACCATGTCAACGATTAATCACACATCAGTGATCCGAGTGCTTTAACCTATTTTAACCTATTTTAAGTAGGCAATGCATGTTGAACCACATTGATCACAATTTGTAGAATGCTCACCATATCCATGTTGACGGGCCTGTTGTAAGCACCCATAGCCCTTACCAAGTAGAGAGTTTACAAACGTATTCACTAATTATTCGTTTCGAAAAGCAAAATTATAAACGTTTTGATGTTAGTAACTACATAACTGTTAATTCCACATTTCTTTCATACCTCTGTGCTAGAAGACAACATAAGTTACATTTCAGTCCGGGTTCGAATCCTGCTGGCGGAAAACTGTTCTTTTATCATCTTGGCCATTGATAGAAAGAAAATGGACCCGGGATGATCCGGAGTAAAATAAGTCTTCAGCAACCCATGCTTGCTGTAAAATGCGACTATGCTTGTCGTAAGAGGCGATTAACGGAATCGCTGACTTGGTTGATGCATGTCATCGTATCCCAAATGCGTGGATCGATGCTCATGATGTCAATCCCTGGATTGTCTGGTCCAGACTCGATTATTTACAGACCGCCGTCATATAGCTGGAATATTGCTGAGTGTGGCGTTAAACAACAAACAAACAAACAAAGAAGACAGAGTTTAATACACTATTTTCCAGACTGCCCGGTTCATCAAGCAGGTTATAACATGTGAATACACCCCGTTGCATAGTAACCACCTATTGTTACTATAATACCAATACATATGTGCCCTTACACCCCCAAACAACCCCGCCCCCCTCCTCGGTGAGGTAATCGTATACACACCAGATCTTCTGAAGGAGTTTTGATCCGCTTTAGCCGCACTGAACATGTCCGAGTTTGAATCTTCTAATGCATGTAATCTCACTGCCTATCAGCTCCCTAATCGCGGCAATCGATTTGCAATAAACCACGCTTTTGTTGAGAAAACAATGCACGGCGTTAGACAAGCGCCCTGATAAGCATTGAACCGTTAGATGAATTACAGGGCTAATCTGTTCCATCCAGCAGCAGTTTCCTCCCTTGCAATACTGGATTACTGTGTACGTAGTGTACTCACTCTATTGACAATCTAGGATTATTCAGGATAATTACTCTCGCGTTGTCCACAGACTTGTAAGAGGCAGGCTTGAATTAATATTTCTACATCAAAGTAATTCATGACGAGGTGGATTAAAACACGCCTATGGAAAAGATTTGTATCATGACTTTGATAGATAGAAGAGCAGTAAAATGACACGGAAATAGAAATATATTTATTTCAATATTGTTTTGTGTTCATAATTTTCTCTGAATTAATTACATTATTTCCGCAACCTGAACTGATTTACCGATAGTTATATATTGATTTTAGGTATGAAATCGATATGTGTATTCAGTAATGCATGTAGATGACAGCTCTGATTTACGGATTTCGAATTCTTTATTTTTTTATTCACAAACGATATTTCATTTATATACGGATTTT